TAAGTATTGGTGTGTACTGCAAGGTTCTGGAATCATTAAAATGATAAGAAATTTGGCCCAGTCTTGTTAAAGTTATGAGCACTGTACACAGAAAGATGTATATGGGACTACACGACACGTGCACGATAGCTATCAGGTCCGGATAGATATAATAATTTACCAAATATATCAATTAGTAGGCCGTTTCCCGGCAAAATTTGTATTATCACATATTAGTCAAAACATATTCACATGATTGGTAAAAAGAGTTTCCATTTCATATTTTGAGAGGGGCGTTTCCAAAACTGGTCTTTACCTTTAATATCCAGCCCTTTAAATAGTTACATTCTTATTATTGGTTCGGTTTATTTCAAACTTTCATCATTCCGCTTATCTAAATTTTCTGCTTCATGCACATGAACTTATTAACTGGGGTTAGATTGCCCTTTAACTTTTTTTAAGGTAACTGAGGCATCGTATTACATGCACCATCTTTAGATCTACACATGCACATGTAGGGTGGAAGTTAGAAGCTTGATTTAGACTGCAAAGTAACTGTCACTGGACTGTACATAGAATGTAGAGCCACTCTGCAACACGAGAGTGCATTCCATAGGTTAACATCTACCCCGGATAGCACACTCCTTCACACATTTTCACATACAATGCGTACATTTAGGAGTGGGATGTGTATCAAAGCGACCTAAATACTTAGGACATAACATACTCTCTATGCTACAGTGCAGTAACCAATTTGAAGCACAAAGACAGGACAGCTACAACAACAACTATAAAATGTTATGATGGGTTCATGGGCATGTAGTCTATGCTTTCAGACCACAAAATTAAAATTTGACTATCTTTCTTCTAGGTGCAATTAAAGACAAAAGTGTACTTGGGAGTCATAATTTCTGCACAAATATAAAGTGATTTTCTAAGTCTGATACTTTTAAAAAGCTTAATGAAGAGAAAGTAGACCACTTGCTTGCTCCTTAAATGAGGGGGTTAAACCGTTAAAAACTTTACAATTCTTCTGTGTTAGTATTTAGCATACAACGATGTGTTTTTTCTCTTTTTCTCTAGTTCCCTCAGGGTTAAAGGGATCGTTTGACAATGCTACACGGCCCTACGTGTTACCAGTGTCTGTGATATGGTGTAATATTGAAGCCCTGAAAAAAAATCGCGCTTCAAAATGATCAAGAAGTGCCTCAAAAAAGTAAAAATCTTTGAGTGACCGGTTTTACCATACTCGTTTACCCCAATAGACTGTATTCATGGGGTTCCTGACTGACCTAAAGGTTTATAATCATCATTGCAGCATGAGCTTAATCCAGAATTTTGTTTCAGAATCTGAGACAAAGTTACCGGATCCCTTTAACAGGGTTGCTTGTAATTACATGTACATGACTGCTTTATAATGCATGTTACATGAACATACAATAATGTAATTTAAAAAATAGCTTGTGGGGGAAAGGGGGTTCATCATGATCAGACTGAAATTATGACTTTTGTTCATATCAAATCAAATTTCCTGATGATAACATTAATCTAGAATGGCTTTTTACAAACTGTTACGAACTCAGGGTAATATGTTGGGAATGAAGCATGTTTCTACTCTGCAAAAATTAAGATCACGTTATACATTTTCAGTCAGTAATGGCAAGCTACTACCCCTCAAACAAACGGTCTGCAAACGAAGATTAAACCAGAGCTGTACATGTACACTGTACAAATACATTTGTACATAGGGATCATACTCATATCAAGGTCACATGCTTGTTCATCTCGTTTTGATTGACATTACCTTACACAGACAGATTCACTGCCTCATCACAACAAACATTGGACATCACCCACACACAAACACTGATGCAAGGGCAAGAGGGATTACATTCCTTGTCCATGGATGTACAAGAATGAGAAAGTTCACAATTTATTTTTCACCATTAAAAGAACTCAGCCTTCTCTATTAAAAGGGTCTCTTAATGAAGACTGTATCGCTAGACCAGCTACATGGGGGTCATACTTCAAGCTTTACATGCTTGCTCATATCCAAGTGATTGATATTACCTTACACAGACAGATCCAATGCCGGCTCACAACAAAACATTGGACATCACCCATACACACACTGGTGCAAGGGAAAGAGAGATTACATTCCATTTAGGCCACTTGAAAAAATATACATGTTTAGCGTCCCCGCCCACTTCCCTTTATGGGGCGGCCTCCTATTTTATTCTTTTTTTGGATTTCTTTTTTAAAGGAAAAAAAAAGAAGAAAAACACTGCTAAAATGGATCTATTTCTGATTTAAAAAAAAAAAAATGTCGGCGGCCATCTTGAAAAATGGCCCGACTGTCGGAAAATGTTCCGAGCGGCCATTTTGATCGGCCATTTTAAAAGAAGAAAAAGATTTTAAAAAGGGCCTCTTCCTTCGTATTTTTCGAAAAAATAGGACGCTAAACATGTTTTTAATTTGGCCTTATTTACAAGAATGAGAAAGTTCACAACTTATTTTTCACGTTTAAAAGCAGTCAACCTTCTTTTATAAATAGGGTCTGCTAACGAAGACTGTATCGCTAGACCAGCTACATGGGGGTCATACTTCAAGCTAACATGCTTGCTCATATCCAAGTGATTGATATTACCTTACACAGACAGATCCAATGCCGGCTCATCACAAAACATTGGACATTACCCATACACACACTGGTGCAAGGGTAAAAGGGATTACATTCCATGTCACAAGAAGGAGAAAGTTCACTCAACCTTCTCTTACTAAGGTCTGCTTAAATGAAGATAATGTTGTACATGTTTGTACATACACCGGTATTGTAGGGGTCTTACATGTACATCCAAGGTTAAATGCTTATTTGATTGATATTACCTTTACACATACAGATTCACTGCCTCATCAAAACATCACCCACGCACACATTGATCAAGAGAAAGAGGCTTTACATTCCATTACATACATGTACAAAAGATGTTTGTTCCTGCAGATTTTTTCTGCAGTGCCGAAGAGTTTTTGTGTCCATTTAAAGAATGGAACAAATCAATACAAGCCAAAGTTGAAGATAAAGTTGAGTTCTGGGCATCGATTGCATTGTGAAAGAAACGTTGTGAAATCGGTCAGAAAAGGTTGATCATCTAACATATAAGTATTAATGTGTACTGCAAGGTTCTGGAATCATCAAAATGATAAGAAATTTGGCCCAGTCTCGGTAAAGTTACAAGCACTGTACACAGAAATATGGGACTACACAAACATGTGGCATAAAAATCTGTCCCAATATTTTTCATGCCATATTTAGAATATTAAGGCATTTGAAGAGCCATGCTTTTCAGGAAACATTTTTTATCTGTATTTGTTCCACACTTGCACGATAACAATGATAACGTTCACAAACTATTTTCTCCTCTTCCCAGAACTCAACCTTCTCTTTAATGCTTAAAAGTTCAAAGCACTCTAGGAAGAAAACTTTTAAAGTATTGGTATTTTTAAGTATTGTTATGTTCTTTATGTTTGTTACCATGACATTTTACACTTGAACATGAAGTTAGGACTACGAAACACAGCAGAAAGGTAAGATACACAGATGTTGTATCACTTAGAACCTGAACATGTAACATTCATTACACAACCTTTTTAATTATACACTTATCATGACACATTTTAATATTGTAAACGCTTTACCATAAAACACGAAATATACTATTTCACAGAATTGGTAACTATTTATACTCACATTAAATGCAATTCCACCGACGAATATCCTGTTTGGAATGATGGTTCCATATCTTGGTGCATTGGGTGCACCGGTTACTGGAGAGGGGGCTTGTGAGCTGCCTGCACTCTCAAGGGTTGGCTACAGAAAGAAGAAAAAAACAATTTAAAGACTGTCAATACTACTGGGCCAGAAGGGATCATTAGACCACCCAGCCAGGTCACTGACAGGTGGCTATCTCATCAACTCAGCTTTCAACTAACATAAGAAAGAGAGGATCATGGGGGACCAACGGGCATGGATTATATAGAGGGAGCAAGTAGCTACAAGTAGGACATTGGGGCTTTAAAGGAAGAAAATGTTTTCATCAAGAGAAATGAAATATTCAACTTTGCCTCCTCCTTCTTAAAATCTTCCTTCTTTAAATTTTTATTCTCCTCCTCTCCTTTCTTCTACTTGTTCTTCTAAAGGTGCGTTCGTGCTCAATTTTGAAGGCAGAATGAGCGATTTGAAACGCTCATTGTAATCGCCGTGACGGTTCCACGGTGTACTGTTTATGCTCCCTTCTCCAGGCCAATTCGGGCTCTGTAGGCCTATCTGGATTCGCATGCTATGTTGACCTACGGTGGGCAGGTCAAGTTTTGGCATAGGCAGGTGCACTGTATAATCAAGGAGATACACAGCAGATGATGATGCAACGGGTAGGCCTTCCCCGTGTTAGCCAAATGAAATGCTTTGTAGGCACTGCACCGGCAGGAGCATGCATTTATGCAGGTCAGGCCACGTCTGACGTGTATGCGATTATTGCGATATGCGTTCAAATAAAAAGAAGAAGAAAAAAAGAATATATGTACACAAACAAGAAAAATAACATTTTAAAAATAGAAGGAAAAAATAATCTCAAAATAGAATAAAAAAGACTAGACCCTATATTGAAAATATATCATCTAACATAGTAGTTATCTTTAAAAAAATTAAAAAAAAGTTTATTTTCTTTAGCACATTATATCTATTACCCCCCCCCCCTCCCCATCCCGTGGATTTTCCACGGGTCCTGCTTGTTATGTAGATTTTCACATGAACCGGAAACTCGTTTATGACGACGTCATTTAAACGCGTTTACAAATGATTGTGCGTTTATGCTTCCTTAGAAACCGTCTTTTTGGAAAAACGCCTATCCAAAACTCACCTTTTTGTGAGTTTACGATCAGCGATTCTACGAAAATGAAAAAGGACGCAACCATGTTTTTAACTAAACGAGTAACAAAAGCCTCATTCTGGCCTAAAAAAGTTGAGCATAAACGTACCCTAAGTTCTACCTACCGAACAGGTAGTTGTTGTTGTCCTTCTTCTTCTCTCATTTCTAATTCTTTGTTTCTTCCTCCTCCTCAGTTTTCCCCTTATCTTAATGTTCTCAAATGTTTTTCTTCTCCTCCTCCTTCTCTCCTATTCCTACTCCTTCTCCTCCTCTTTCTTCTTAACTTCCTCTCCTCCTCATATTTTTTCTTTAAGATGCAAATCATTTTTGTTAATACCTCAGTCCGAGACCAAAAAACATTACAGACCTGTGCATTACCTGCAAAGGCTACAATAAATGGCCATAAATGAATTCATTTGGTCTGGAGTTGATCTGAGCCTGTAAGACAAAGATTTGGAATCAATTGCAAATTAAAAATGATGATTCTGATTGGTTAAGGCCACTTAAAAAAATATACATGTTTAAGCATCCCGCCAGCTTCCATTTTGGGGGCCGCCTCCTATTTTTTGTTTTTGAAAAATAAAAAAATGTCAGTGGCCATCTTGAAAAATAGCCTGACTGTCAGGGAAAATGTACCGAGCGGCCATTTTGAGTGGCCATTTTGAGCGGCCATTTTGAAGAAAAAAAGGGCCTCCTTCCTATTTTTCAAAAAAACAGGATGCTAAACATGTTTTTTTATTTTTTATTTGGCCTATGGTCAGCCTTTTGATCAATACAGGCATGCAACATCGATCTTGATTGGCCATTTTCATTTTGCAAGTGATTGCAAACTTTTCTGTGACAACCCTGGACTGGAGTCAGTATCGACAGTGTGACTGAGGTAGGGTCTAGACCGCTAGTTGCTTTTCCTCATATTTTTCTGATTTCATGTGCCAATAAAAAAAATATTGAATAATTTACATAATGACTAATCGGTTGGTGGAAGCAACGAGATTTAACGATGTTTGGCAAAATTAAATTGCTGAAGATATATGTATTTTCAAAACTAAATTATGTTTCGTCTCTTATGACAGTCCCACAAAACATTTTTGAAGAAATCGAAAAGATTTCTTTTAATTTTATTTGGGGAGGGAGAGACAGAATAAAACGGAAAATATTATATCAAGATTACTGCGCTGGGGGACTCAGAGTAACGAATTTTAAGATATTTATCAAGACTCAGAGAATAATGTGGATCAAACGGTTGCTCTATGGAGAAAAGTATTCAGGTTGGAAAGTAACCTTTGACCACTTTTTCAGATCAATGGGGGGTCGAATTATATTTCTTTGTAATTATGATATAAATAAAATGGACTTGAAGGGTATACCATCTTTTTATAAAGACATGTTGAAGGCATGGCAAGAATTAGATAAATGCAGACACTTTGGAGAAAATAAGAATAATCCGATTATATTTAGCAATAAGTGAATATGTCTCAGCAATAAAACATTTTTTGATGACGAACTATTTCAGAAAGGTATACTTCAAGCATCAGATATAATTGTCAGAGGTCATTTAAAACCGATCTTACATTTTTTAAATTTGGGTTTTGCAACTAAAAGCTTGCTTAGAATTCAAAAGACCTTTTCAGCAATCAGAAACGAATGGATACAAAGTGATTTTATGGAAGTGGACATTGAAAATTTTGAAATAGAATTGATGATATATATATGGACGTTTACAGAAACTATGTGATATAAAATCTAGGCGGTTATATGATTACTTCATTAAAGACCTTCAAAAAGAGTATACATTACATGTTACAGATGGCAACTGTCAATTTGATCTTGGAATGACGGAGTTGAAAGAAACATTCACAAGGATGAAAGGTGCAATGCTTTGTAATAAACATAGAGAGTTTCAATACAAACAATTACAAGGGGCTGTATATACGAAAAGAGAGCTCTTTAAATTTGGTTTTGAGTCAGACCATTTTTGTTCCTTTTGTGGACTAGAAGTAGAGACATACCAACATTTATTTTTAGATTGTCTTAAAGTTAAAAGATTATGGCAGGAGGTAATTCAAAAGTTACATTTAATCGAAATTGACATTGATGATTGGAAACCCATATTTATGGGAATATCCGGAAATACTACTAGAATATTTGTAATAAATTGTATCATATTTTTAGTAAAGTATATCATTTTTATTTCTAGAAAAGAAGGAACTTTGCCATCTGTACAGAAAACAGTACATATGCTAAAAAATTACAGAGACGAGGAATACAAAATAGCCTTCAAAAAGGGGAAACTGGGGATGCACTTACAGAAATGGGAACAAATCGATGCATTTTTACCTTAATGGACGTGGGTATTATGTGGGTATTATTATTATTAGTAGTATTATTAATTCTCTCTCGTGTACAGGTGGACAAACCGGAACAGATTGCATGCAGCGTGTGTGTCGGCGTGAAGTGGGTGTGAGATGGGTGGGCTAGGGGGGGGGGGGGGGGGTGAAGAGTCTGTGTGGTGTGAGTTGAGGGAACAGGTTGCATGCAGTGTGTGTTTGTAATTGTATGGTTGTTTATGTGTGTGAAAGGGGGTGTGGTGCGGGTGGGCTAGAGGGGGGGGGGGGGGGGGTGTGAGAGTGTTGTGATAGGATGGTAATATGTAACTTTAAACCTTCCTCTACTGTTATTTTGATTATACACTGATACATGCAAGACTTTTTTTTTTTTTTCCTTTTTTTTCCCCTTTATGTTCATTGATTAATGTAACTTATGATATGTCTTGTATCAAAGAACTTGTTTTATATTGCTTATCTTGATAATTTCTTGTTATGTGAATTTCTTGCTATGTGAAATTATAAGGAAGGAAATAAAATATCATTTAAAACAAAAAAATCTACACTTTAAACTTTAAACCTTCCTCTAGATCTACGGTTATTTTGACTAGACCCTCTATACACTGTTACATGCAAGAATTTTTTTCCCCTTTTTTTTCTATGTTCATTGATTGATGTAACTCATGAAATGTCTTGTATCAAAGATCTTGTTTTATATTGCTTAATTTGATAATTTCTTGTTATGTGAAATTATGAGGAAGGAAATAAAATATCATTTAAAACAAAAATAATGAGGCAGGCTTGAAAAAAGAAGCAAGAAGGGCCAGTTCAACACAACTTCTCTGGCTCTGCTCATCAGTCATCAGGGTAGCATTTCACGAAAACTGTCAATCGTCATAATGATTAATGATTAGGGCCTACGGTTTAGATCTAGTATAAGTAGATTCTACAACTACAACTTGAGTACAACTACTGAAGTACAAGTTCCTCGACATCCCATTGAATTTGAACTGAGAGTGAGACTGAGTCTGAGAGTGAGACTGAGACTGAGAGTCGAGAGTCTAGCTCTAGCCAGGGTCTAGAAATATAGATCTCTATCAAACTTCAAAGTATCAACTATCATTACAGAACTAAATCTAACTTTGGATTTGGACCAAATTTAACTGGCATCACCAACATCATTGTCACGTCTAGTAAGTAACTAGATCTAGTAGATCTAAGTAAGTTCTACACAGCCTCAGCTCAGGCCCAAGGCCAACCAAGCAAACACTGTCACTGTCACTCTCGATGGTCTCTGTACATTACAATGCACTCCACAGCGCTCCATGCAACATCATCACCTTCGCAGATTCGCACATCTCCCTATTTGTATTTGCATGCAGGCTCACTCTCTCTTATCTTACAAACAACAGTGCAAATCATCACACATGATACATTTCAAAACAGTCTGCCATATCCTGACTTACCGATGACTGAGATTCCGACATATTCATTGCAAATCAAATGGCGATCTGATCGACATTCTGTTCAAATTCAGGTCATATAATTCCTTTATACTCTCAATTACTGAAACACAGCGCGATTTTCAGCTCGCTCGATATATCGACGATCGCGTATACAAATTGCATGCATAAAATTTGGCGCATGCGATCGAGCTCAGCGCCGAAGTTTGGCGCGGCAAGTTAAAAGTGATCTCCACATTCCAACCATTCCATTGTGAAATTCGGAATATTTGTATGATTTAAACTTAGGAAATTTCACCCAAAAGTCATAATAAACAATTCAAAGTCAAAGTTGGCACAAAATGTGATTTTAGTTTAAAATTTAAATGATTAAAGCTTCATAAAGACTGTAGTATGAATTAAGAAGTAGTTGTATTAACACACTTTTTTTTCTCTACCCCCTCATTGACAATGTGGACGATTCCGTCTGGAAAGTTGTTTTGATACTTCCAAAAGGTAAAAAGAGAAGTACACAACATGTGGTAGTACAGACCACGTGTTTTGAGACATGCTTTTTGTCAGTATTTGGGCGTACCAAAACTCACATGCCCTGGGCGTACATAGTATATAGGGTGCGTCGTTTGGAGCACACCTGCAGGTCTATACTGAATATTCATATCGTGACGTCAGCCGTCGCGCCAATTTTAATTTTGCAGAGCCGCATATAAATATATGAGCTAGCGCTAGCGCGCGCCGTATACATCATGATCAGGATATGGGCATGTACTGTGCTGATATCGTGTATGTTGCATACGATACTGTAGCGGTATACCTAGACCTACTTTACTAGATCTAGGCTTAGATCTAGTTAAGCTGTTTAGCTATATAATATCATCATCATCATCTGACATCAGCAGCAGCAAAATGTCCTCTCCCGACTCAATGAGGATGAGTAGTAATGAGGATGATGTACCCGACCCTCCTCCGCCTCCTTCCCCTCCTTCGCCTCTACCCCCTCGCCCTAGGCCGTGGACCGACATCTGGCACCCTGTGTCTGAACGAGCTCCTGCTCTTGGATGGGTCTCAACATTTGAGGAAGCGTGTGAAGTAAAAAAACACTTCGAGGTTTTTTCCTCTCTGACGTTTGTGTCGGAGAGGCATAATTCCTTTCCAGAAGGTGAGTCATCTTACCTTAAATTCTTAACTGCCTTGTTTGTTTAAAATCATCTAGAATCTAGGTCTAGATCTCGATCAGTAGCAATATGGAATGCTGCCTTTGGCTTTGAAAGCCTACTCACGTTACCCTCAATAGTGCAAAATGCACCTAAAAATTACCCTCCATAAGAATTTTATTTTAATACTAGTCTTGACTATAAGTGCTGAAATGTTGAATCGACGATGCTGTAGTCTATAGATCTAATATAAATGAAAATGATACCCTTTCCAACATCTTTTTTTGGGACGCAGGCATTCATGTTGAGTGTTCACTAAAACAAACTTCAATCAATGCCCTTTTTTTTCCCCCATGCATGATTAGGACCCAAACAAAAGATCAGATTTTCTGATTCCATCATTGAAGGTGATGGTACACCTTTCTTTCTGCGAGGTCGATGGGAGTATTCATGTATGTTTGGGCGAGACAAGCATGCAGCCAGGATCAAGAAAGCAGTAGAGGAGGAAAAAAGACAACATAAGGTAACATAACAATGAATCTTGTTCAGATGGACTGAGCCCCTCGACTGCGTGTCTGTTTACATGCAGTTGAATCATGACTACATCAATCATCCTTTTTTAATTAATGCAAATTATTCCATGACTTGAGGTCCCATCTGTAGCTGTAGATATAGTCTAGATCTAGATACGTTTATCCAAAATGTTAAAGTGCGGGTTCATAGAAAATCACAAATACGGCAAATAGCGTATTACTAGAAACTGGTAAGCTATAAGATGACTATTATGAAAGTTTTAGGTCAACTACATATCGGATGGTTTATAAAAATACAAATAAAACAACCTCCATAGCATCTGGGATATGCGAGAGATTCGCCGGAAAAAAAAAGTTTTCATGCCGTCACAATATGAATCAACCCTGCCCAAGCAGACGACATCCCATAAAGAATGAACATATTGCAATGCTTATATTTCTCAAATTATAATGAGTTTAGTGTATATAAATGTGATGGAATTTTACACCATTCAAAAAGGGATATGACCCCCATTCTGATAACTAAATTCTTTTGTTTGTAAATACACAGGATATGGGTTAATGAACGATCAAAGAAACCACACTTTCAAATTAAAAAACCTCCGGAATGATAGCTGGACGTCATTATTGTTCCCTCTTGAAACGCCGAACCTGCCGCGGTGTATGCAGCTGAAAATACAATGGCATCTTATTTTGTTTACAAGCGACGGATTCCTTTTTTTTTTTAATCCTTGCATTTTTTCATCAAAATAATACCATGCACAGGGTTAAGAGTGAGGCAATAGATTAAACATTTTGCCTGAAGGTATTGAAGTAAGAGAAATAACTGAAGAAAAGATAACAAAACAGGCACTGAAATTGTGTGAGATGTCATGGGACATCGTCTGCTTGTGCACATCATGTTCAACATGTGACGTCATATCTCAGCAGCGACCAGGGAGCTTTTCAGGTGCTATGTCGGGGCTGTATCTAAGCATTTTGTAATTGTTAATAATCATTACTTCGAATGTTTCCAAGCACTGGCTTTTGATAACCTTGGCCAATCAAAGTGTCCCCTTTGCAATGATGACATTAAAGTTAGTTTTTTAAATCAATGAACCTTCTCTTTAAATTAAACAAAACCACTAGCTATACCCCTTCTTCCACGCGTTTACATTTTTTCCATTACAGCTTTGTTGATGAGTGATCAAAATTGGTTTTGGGAAAGGGAACATAAATTGAAATATGTTGTATGTCAGGTGGTTTCATTTGCAGTGTTTATGGCCTACCATGAATGTTGATATTTTTTTTATAAGCATTCATTCTAGGAGTAATTCCAGGCCCTTAGCCAGGGGGGGGGGGGGGTTCAGAAATTCAAATTTATAGGATTTGGACAATGTTACTAAGTCCTTTAAGATCTGGTTGACAATTTATCATATAAACTGAACTTACTGAATTATCAATTTGGGCCTAGCTGACATAAAAATTGTGCAATGGTTGAGGTATCATTGTTGACCTTTAACTGCACGTATGCAGTTGAAGATCCACATAGTTTGTAAATAGTTTTATTATTACTATTATTATTATTATTATTTATTTGGCAATTCACACAAAATATAACAATGTAAGTATGAGTAGACAAAAATTAAAGGAATGTCAATTATAAATGCACAATCTCACTGGCGGTCCTCTGAGTGCATCAGTTGGCTGCCAGGGAAGAGGAAAGCAAACTTAATCACTGTAATCGTAATGGTCCCTCTTCCTGACCAACTGGTGCAGCCAAAAGACCTGCAAAATATAGCATGAATGTTTAAATAAAATGTAAAACATTTCATAAACCACAACCTGATAAACCAAACAACTAACAAAAATAAAGCACAAGGAGAAAATGAAGTATGATGTACTAGTTCATGACACGATACTGAGCTTAAAAATGAGGAATTAACTCTGGCTTAAAAACTATTGCATAAAATGTCAAGTAAGGAAACTGAAACCATGGAGTATAAAACTGAGAAAAGAACAAAATATGAGAACATGTAGTAGCAAGCTGACAAGATTTTTTTTTAATTATATAGGTTGACCGGTATATAGAAGTTAAGAAAACATGGTAAAGGAAGTGATACATAGGCTTAGTGGGTGTCAGGCGAGTAAGGAAACTAGGAGAACGAACTAACACATTAGTGAACTAGTACTTCATATATTATATTATATAAAAATACAAATGAATGATTCCAAAGCATACCGTAATTATTACATTAACCTATCGTAAATTAAACAAAGACTTCAAAAGAAAAATTTAATCAAAGAAGATATGACTTTTCAGCCTGTGTTGTCAGGTATGAAATTTAGAGAGTACAAAGTCAATGCGCAAGTCCCGAGTTATTCTGCTAACCTATAAATTATTCCTTCTTCTGTTTGTTTACCTACAGCAAGATCATCCATCCTGCAAAAAGAAAAACAAGAAAATGCAGTCATCAAAGAAGATGGGATGTCCAGCCAAACTCCACATGAGGGAAGTAGCATGCATCATGGATTTTAAGGTAGCCACATGTTTAATTAAGTATACATATCACTGACATTGTCACTTATCACTGAACTAATTGTTAATAGTACAAGAAACATAGAAGAAATTGTAAAATAACACATTTAGAAGGAAATTAACACCAACAAAATGAAAGCTTATTGTGTTACAGTTAGGTGAGCCTAAGTCAAAAGTCCTTTGTTATTGGGATAAGGCTCAGGTAGGATGTCTATTTTAGGAGGAAAATGTGCAATCTTACGTCCATCAAGCCATGAGTGTAACACAATTTTGTATAATATAGCTGTTCAGGCAAGTGAAATCATGTATTTTCAGATGGTAAGAGAGGATTGTGACATCTATGTATTAATTTGTAAAGCATGTTGGGCCTTCAAAATGGCCTGAAAGGGACTTTGCTACCAGCATGCAGGTATACAAGTCCCTAAGTATAAGATGTGTTTAATACAACATGTTTGGTTTTGTCCCTTTTCTTGCTGATGAAGATATTTTGGTTATAATGGACTTATCACATGTAATTATATTTGTATGTCTACATTTTTCTATGCAGGCTTCTACCACCTATCAGCAGAAAAGAGCAAGCCAGAGAGTGAAAGAGGCCATGGCAAGAGGTGATACCCTCCAGATAGAGAAGCGGATTTATATTCAGCTTCCTAGTGATGAAGATCACAAAAATGTCCACAGTCTTGGAGAGGTAGGTTTTTAATGTTGGTAATTAAGTATGATTGTAATGATCCCATTCATGATTAAAAAAACATATCATAATTGATCCATCTATATATTCATAATCTATGTCTGTGAATGGTATTTTTTCTTGATCTTAGGTGACAGGCTTCATGAAGCCCATCAACAAACAGGTGTCAGCAAAACTGGATGAATTGGTTGCCCATGGAGTGAGCAGTGTGGGGGAGATGCGAAGGCATCTGAAGGTCCATGTGGAAACTGTTCTGTTCCCTGAAGCAGCAACTAGACCACCTCTCACAAATGCAGGATACTACCCATCAGATGAGACTATGGGTAAACATATCTACACAGCAAAGATGCGGTTGAGGTAAATTTCTATATCTCATGGATGGAAGAACATAAAATTTGAAAATAGTTGCATATTATTAAATAACTTCATCTTGCATTGTATTTTTCGGCCTCCACCAACGAAGTGACCTGAGGCATTATGTTTCTGGGTTGTCTGTCTGTCTCTGACTCGTTTTTATTTTAAGATCCGACGGATCATTATGAAACTTTGTTTGAAAAAAGGGGAAAAATTAACTGATTGTAGGTGATTTTCAAGTTCATTTTTAAAGATGTATAATATTTTGTATATATATATATATATATATATATATATATATATATATATATATATATATATATAAACAACATTAAGTAAGACTTGATTACACTACCCTACACAAAGTAGTGATATATATTTAGTAATATTATTTCAGGCCTCAACATTAACTTTTTTGCCGTTTCCTGACTTTGACTTTGTTAAGGTTATTAAAAAACATATAATGTGTTTTTGTTTCTTTTAATTCTAAATTTGTATTGAAATAGGCAAAGTAACTCATCACTATTTTGTTTAACTCTAAAACACTAAAGCAGTATAATGCATAAATATAGTCTTTAAACCCTTTTAACCTGTTGCTTAAGGAAACTGGGTGGGCTATGTACAAAGTCTATAGGGACTTCAGAATCTTGAAGTGAACATGTTAAATGTGCTTACAATTCTGCAAAAGCAAAAATTACCCCCTTGTTTTTGCAAAATTGTGAATTTTTATTATTTTGTACACACAGCCAATGTGAAGTGACACCACTGGTATTTTACCAGATTCTGTTACCAAACTACACTTTGTCCAGTACTTCTATAATCATTACACATTTAAATGATATTTTCTTTAAAAAAACATAAACAGGATTGATATGACACAAATCAACACTAACGTAAGTAAAATTGGTTTCATCACAGTAAGTATTATTCTTGCATAATTTTGGCTTTCTAGAGGGCACTGGAAGAACTAATCACTATAATTCACGCTTTCACATTTTCATGATATCAAGATCTCCGGATTAACTATAAAGTTTCTGAAGTGAACATATCATCTTTCTTTTCAATCTGATCTACACTGTATATCTTGTATTTCTGCCTTTTCCTCTGCTATAAATTTTATGTCTTAAACACTTAGTCATAGAGTGAAGAAAGGTTCTCAACTTCTCATGTACATGAACAAGTCAATCTCACACGTGTGTATGTGTTCTTGATAGTGCACTTTAATTCTTATGTAAATCCTGTATATATTTTTTCTCATTTTCCATATCAATGTAGACCTATTTGATTACTTTTCTATTTACCTTCTATCCTGGTTCCTGGTTTCATGTTTCATGATTGATGTGCACATTTTTTTCTCTTTGATTGCTTATAATTCTTGCCGTTTTATTTGAGTATGACATATTCTGTATAAAAAAAGCTTGCTTATTATTGCCTTTTCTAAAAGCTTGTAATGTTATGCTGTTCTTATTAGTGGTTAGCTTAACCTGCCTTGCAACTTCATGTTTTGTAAACTCAATAAATGGTACAAAAATGCAAAACCCTGCATGAAAATGACATAATTTTTCAGCAATTGCAAGGTTATCCTTGAAAAATAGTTTGTATTATATCTTGTTGCATAGCATGCTTTTCAGTTTGCACCTTTTTGTCCTTTTCAGACCTAGATTCACCAGATATTTTTGTACATGGAGAGAACTAGTTTGCAAACAGGAACATACTATGCAAAAGGACCAAACATACTACTTTATGCAAACATAATTATAAGCTTAGAGATCTATGATATTAGGCACTATATTATTCAAACCACTTATTAGTTTGGTTAATTTTTATTATATCACCAACATCCAAACTTAAAGTGATCCATTAAATTAGTATTTCTCCCAAAATTTGTGTCGGGCACTTCAAACATATACCAATATAATTGGAAATTTCTTGAGAAAGAGAGTGAGATTTGCATAGGAATAGTTCTTTCCTAGTGAGAAAAGAGTAAATCAATGTCTGATTTTATCCTGATCGTTCAATTACTATGGAGATTTTAGTCCTCGAATTCAAATACTTTTTACTCTGATGAAGAGCGTCTACAGTCTATTAAAGATTTAAAATGTATCTTAAACAAGTAGGGAGATATTTGAAAAGTAAAAACCCATTTCATTATTCTTTTACCATATTAAAACCAAACAAGAAGGTACAAAGGAGCTAATTTGGCAAAATTTTCACAAACTTGATGGATCAGTTTAATATAATATATTTAGCATATCCCACCTACATATTCTTTACCATTACCATGAAAACCATGCAGGGCAATTATCCATGCTTAAATATAATTCCATCCTAGAATTATGTTGTTTGTTAAATAGAAGCAAATGATTTACAAGAAGTACTGCAAAAATGTTGGCAATAACTAAGCCAACATATGCGGAGGATGTAATCTGGAAAGGTATGAATAGAGGGTCAACATTATTCTTCCAGCTGATGATGATTTCATGGGCAAGCTGTTGCCATAAGAATTGAACCAGAATTATTTAAAAAAAAATGCAATTTCTCAATTATTAAAAGATATAATAAATAATAATATCTTGTGTATGTTTACTATCTACAAACCATATAGTCTGGAATCTAGAAAGAAATTGTATTTGTAATGGACACAAAGTATGAAGAAGTAAAATAATATATACAATGCCAGTCAGATGCTTACCTGCACATGCTGCAATTTCAAAAATATTCATGTTTATTCATCAAGTTCACCTGGAAAATTTATTTCGTAATTATTGTCTGATTATTCTCTTAAAAGGATACCATTTAATGTTCCTCCCATTCATCTGATTCCATTACATCCAATTTATTTCCAGGTTTTAATTATCCTTTCATAGTGAAGGTCACGTAAGTAGATCAAAGGTCACATGAGGGTCAAAGTGAAGTTTTACCTGCAAGAGTCTAGTAGGGTTGATGACTTTCCAACCCTGCATCCGTTTGTAACCAAACTTGATTGGTAGGTGCCTTGTATTGGCCTTCATGATATTCTGGGGTCAAAAGTCAAATTTTTTTATTTGTAAAATGTAGGTATTCCAAACTTGACCAAGACAATGTCCATCAGCTAGTTGGTGAGTGGCAAAATCAGAGCCCTGAGGACAACTTTCTCCTAACCCTAGCTTCAAGCACTGACATCATCCCTTCATCGTCCTCAGATGCAAATTTCTTTTTTTGCCACCAGACTAAATTCCAGCGTCATTTGTTGCACAGGTATTTGAGATAATATGAAGTGAATGCCTGAAGGGATAGGGAATTTATATAATTTCTGGTATTTGATGTCTATTGAATGTTCTTGGATAGCTCCTAGTTGGACAGAAATAATGTTGGTCATAATTTAGCAATGATGAAAACTAATAATTCAGACTGATTATTAAACCCTGGTGTATGTCTGGAAAGATAACCCAATTTCTTTTGAAATGTCAGACATAGATTACTTCACAAAGTGTTTATAAAGAAAAAATAAGTGTCAAAGAAGTTATGCTGTTTCAATTTAGTTGGGGCACCATGCATACAATTCATTATACTTAAAATTATTTGTATACTCTTTACAATACTATACAAGCCATAGTTTGTTTCTCATTTAGTTATTTCTGTCTTTTTAGTAAATCAAACTTGCAAATAAAGAAAAAGATAACCAATTCTCTAATTAATGTGAACAAAAGTAAGATTTTTGTTTTGTTTGTTTCCCTCAATAGATATGGAAACGCATGTTTCCTTGATGCCACATATAGAACCACCAAGTATGCCTTGCCAATATTTTTCTTGGCTGTCAAGACAAATGTCGGATATTCTGTGGTGGGGGAATTTATAGTAGACACTGAATCAAGGGCAGCCATAAGAAGAGGGCTTCAGACAATCAAGGATTGGATGGCTGCAGATGGTGTAAGCTGGAATCCAGATTGTTTCCTCACAGATTTCTGTGAGCGAGAGATTTCAGCCATTGAAGACGTCTTTCCTGGTGAGCATATATCACATTGCATGCAAAACAAAGATGTATATATGATTGCTTTGATTGATTTTCTGTGTGATGGATGCCTCTCTCTCCTTATGTCTCCCTCACTTTCCCTTCTCTTATTCTTTCTCTCCCTCGCTCCCCTCCCTATTTCTTTCTCTGTGTCTCCTGATCTGTCAATCATAAAATATTTTAATCATCCTCGCCCCTTCCCCCTTTTATCTTTCTTTCTCTCTCTCCTGAACGAGAAATCAATCAACCTGCTATCCTCTCACTCCCTGTCTCTCTTTCTGTCTCTCCCTAGCTGTTCTTCTGATCTGTCAATCATTCAATCAACCTCTTTTCCACCATGTTTCTCTCTTGTCTCCTACTCCCCCAATGCAGATGATATGTTATTATGCTTATAACTACTTCTAAGTCGCAACATCATTTGATCAAGGACCGTAATATACAGATAGGTAACTCCACGATTCGGGCTATTCCATCAGTTCGAAATCTTGGTGTTATATTTGACGAGAACATGTGCATGGATGCCCACATGATCGAAGAAGATCTGTCAATCAGTGTATTATAACATCCATAATGTTAATAGCATTCGAAAAGTCCTTGACCATAAGTCTGCTGCTATGCTTATACATGCATTTGTTTTATCTTGATATATTGGCAATTAATGCTCTTCTTTTCAATACTACTTCACGCAATCTTGACAAACGATCAACATGCTCAGAATGCAGCTGCCAGGGTTTTATCAGGGACTTCTAAATATGATCACATTTCTCCTACTTTTGACTGTTTGTCACTGTATTCCAGATGCCGACACATACCTGTGTGATTTCCACAGAGAGCAGGCGTGGATACGCTGGACCAGCAGAGTCGACCATGGGGTGTCATCTTCCAAGGGAGCAGTCTTAAGTCTACTTCGTGCCGTAGCACATGCATCCACAGAATCTGAGTACAAAAAGGCTTTGCAGACCTTGCGACTATCACCTCAATGGACCAACAAGAAACTGCAGCAATGGATAGAGAGAACATGGCTTCCTCACCACAAGGTAATTACACAATACATGACCCAACTGAGAGGCAGCAATCCCAGAGCTTTCATGTCTTTGTCAAGATTTCAATTTCATGGACTATTTTGGAAATAATTCATGCACATAATGTTAAATTGCTCATTCATACATTATTAAAATGCATTTAATTTAATGTTAATGTCTGAATAAATACTTTGTGATGTAATGGATGTGCACATTAGCATTGAATGAACCATAATGAAGAGAAAATACCTTTACATTAATCGTTGTCTCCCATTTATGCCCATTGTTTTTTATTTGTACTTTTTATTCATTATTTAGCGATGGGTATGGGCGTATAGGCATTCTGATGCTCTCAAAGCCCACACAAACAATGGCCTAGAAAGCCAGAATAACGCCTTCAAACACAAATACCTGGCAGAGCGAAACACCCTCTCTCTCTCTGGAATGTTGACTGCTCTTGTAAATGACTACCTTCCAAGCAAGATGAGACAGTAAGTACTGAACATGATTATTTTGAAAACAATTAATTTAACATTTCATATCTGATGACAGTATAAGATTTTAAAAAATGGGTTTTTTATGTTTCAAAAACAAAGTGGTGAGACGCATTATTATTATTATTTTTTTTTATTTTTTTATTTTTTTATTACATTATTATTATTATTATTATTTTTTTTGGGGGGGTTGTCCATTACTTTTGTCAGATTTTCATAATCAGATTATCTACAAAATAATTTGCAAAGTGTCTCCCCCCCCCCACTTCCGGCGCCTATGTTATAGGTACATCATGGCGAATGCAAAAGCCTGCAGCAAGTATGGAAGGATGTACAAGGAAGCGGTACCGGCTTATCTTCATGATAGACCCCCTCCTTTCATTAAGCATTGCCTGGCTCGCTTGGAGTTTTCGATGTCTATTTGTGCTTCAGATGTCTCAAAGATATCGCAAGACAATTTCGAGGTGAGCAAAACATCGTGGACTGACAACAGTCAGATATTTCATTTGATTCGAGTAGGAAAATATCTGGTTCATGCAGGCCTGGGGGGTGTTTCACAAAGATTTATAAGTCGAACTTAACACTAAGTTGGAGTTAAAAATCATGGAGAGCCATTTGTAGCCTTAAAATAAAATATATTCAAAAGCGTAGATTCAAGTATTTTAGACTTCTTATAAACTCCACATCAAGAACATGAAATCTCCTTGATAATAGGAAAATATGAATGATTTGAATCAATATTTCATGCCTTTTAAAATAACTTTTACATAACATTTTCATAGATGCGGCTTTCCATAATTGTTAAGTCCAACTTTATGAAACACCCCCCCTGGTGTGATTTAAATCCCTAAGAAGATCCATATAAATACAAATATGTCTTTCCAAGTAAACAGCACCAAGACAAAAGCATTGAATCTGAGCTGTTTTTCCTCATGTTGTATGAGCTCTTACACTTAGTTTTCCTGTTGTTCATGAATATTACAGGTGAAGAGTGAGGCAGCAAGGGGAGAGCAGATTTACATTGTTTGCCTGTCTCCTAGACTGCACTGCCAGTGCCGAGATTTCCTGAGATCGAAGCTGCCATGTAAACATGTATTTGCTGTCCTGACTCATCAGGGTTTGAAGTGGGAGAGTCTGCCAGCATCCTTCATCCATTCTCCATTCTACACTCTTGATGATGACATTGGCAAATTTGTCAAAGTCACTTCAGTAGAGGAGACTGGAGTGGATATCCCGACTGATGATCCCTCTGATTGTGCAACTAATGACATCTTGTTGCCAATCAGAGGAACACCACTCAAACGACTGGCAGTCCGTTGCCGTGAGAAGATCTGCTTGCTTAGAGATCTCACATACCTATGCAATGATGGGGAGGCTCTGACTGAAATGAGTGATAAGCTGCAGGCCATCATTGAAACTACGAGGCAATCATTGCCAAGTGATGAGGGCCTTGTGGTTACACCTACACCAAGAATTCACAAGAGAGACAAAAGAAAGGCTGGAGAGGTGACAACTCTTCCGTCGAGACGCAAGAGACAGAAGGTCACAGTCCCCAAGAACCCCAAGAACCCCAAGAACCCCAAGAACACCATTATAGATGGAACTTTTGATCTTCCAAATGGTAAGTCAGAGTCTTGTCAATAGAGGCAAGATATTTAACCACTGGCATAGCAGCAGTATCAACGGTTGTTATACAGTGCGTCCCTGATAAAACGAAACCGAGAATTATCGGTGTTTTATCATAACTTAATCACAATTATAATTGATAAATGACACATATTTGGAAAGCTGAGGTCCTCCTCTTTCATTTGATGCAACTCATAATAATGCATATTTCACGCATGAGTGATTAAAATCAATTTGAAGAGAGGAAAACAAAAAGTCATTTGGTGGACGATATCTGAATTTCTAACAGAAAATCACATTTCTAGAAAGTTGAATTTCTGCCCTTTCATATGACACCTCAATCAGGAAAAATGAGCTAGGAATAACAAAGTTCTGTTTGTTTAAAGTAGTGCTTGCATTTCCATAATTTGATTAAACGAATTCGTTTTCACTGGCTGCCTGCCATATCAGCAAACAAAAATAACAAAAGACTTAACTCTGTTTCGTTGACAATCAGCTGTTACGAAAGACTTCATGCTTGGCTGATTGTCAACGAAACGGAGTTAAGTCTTTTATCAATTCTGCCTTTTGCTACGGCAGGCAGCCAGTGAAAACGAATTTGTTTGCTAAAATTATGAAAATGTAAGGGCTACTTTAAACAAACAGAACTTCCTCTCTCTGTCTGTCCTTACAGCAGCTTCTTCAGAACAGGCTGCAGCCAAAGACAGCGGTGGCACTTGCAATGCACCAGAGACGATACAAACACGTAAGTTTCATAATGCTATATTAATTTTTTTACAGGATAATCCTTGAAAATGAGACATTATAGGATTCATGAAAACATATAGACAAAATGATGGCTGAAATTTGCAATGTTTTCCTTGTATCATTTGTATACTAGGTCACTACTAACTCGATTTTCCTACAAAGTTAAATAGAATTTGATTTTGCCTGAAAAGGACTATACTACCTTTTTACAAATATTTTACTTTAGAGAACCTTTCAACTACCAGTCTTTTCAGAATTAATGTGTTTTCTCACTCATTTATATTCAGAGACATGGATTTCATTGCAGTATTAACAACAACAAAAAGTTGCTGACATATGCTGGATGCCAACAGTATTTGCACGACATGGTACCTCCATAGTGATATGTGCACTTATGTTTCTTTGCCAGATGCTGCTGATCCAACAGGACAAGAACCTCCAATCAAAGCATCAGATGAACCCCTGTGTGGTAAGAAAGAGTCAATCAATGTTGTGATCCTGCAGATTTTTTTCTTCTTCTTGAAACACTCATTATTAAGCATTTACATTTATGCTATCATCGTTAATGAGCAAAAACTTACAAACATTACATTGCAGAATTTTATTAAAAGGGGAAAAAATAATACAAAAGAAAGTACAAAAAAGAGAGGACACGTAAGTGTAGGCTATAACAAGTAAACGTTAAATAAAAATTGCATGAGCGATCATTGTCTAACATTAAATAAATGGGGATTTACAAAATACAAAACCCAAATTATCAGGAAAAAAATGTCTACTGGTATTGATCGAGCAATATAAACAAACATTCTTTTCACAATTTTTTTTAAAGATAAAGATTTTAATGCCTTAGTGGAGTTGTAAATCTGTAGGCTTTGTGCTTTAAGGTTGACATGAACATGTATTCTTTATTCCCTTTGCCAGATGCTGCTCATCCGACGGGACAAGAACCTCCATTCAAAGCATCAGATGTACCCCTATGTGGTAAGAAAAGGCCATTCAATGTTAAGCTTCTTATTTTGTTGAAGTCATGCAGTAATTATTAATATTTACACAATGATGCAGAAAGGGTTATAAGCCTTTCATTCCCAGCCATCAAACCAACCCCAGTCTACACTCTTCCCATTGGTGTTGCCCAACCCCCAGCTAAATAAAACAAAATAGCAACAAAGACATTTTGCCACCGTTACTATTAGAAAGTGGTGTAGAGCATAGTGACATAACATGAAAATAAAAATCTATGGATTCTCCATATTAATTGTATCAAATATCAACCTTCATAAATGTTCTACTAAATGTCATTTACGTATAATTACAAGACAGAATAGTTTGTTGCTATTACCCTTTGACACCAATAAAGAAAAATTGCTTTCAATTCCACTATATCATGAATGTGGTTTTGTAAGTTTTGAAATTAAAGAATAACATTTGTTTACTAAACATTTTCTTGTATGTGATTCATCTTACTTTTTACAAGGAGCCAACTCCAGCCATGATGCACACAAGCCAAAGCCAGGTGAGAAAAGGTCAAGAGATTTTATACTAATATTTTCTTTTCATCTCTACATTGCAGTGAAAACCATTTAAGTTTAAACTGTGTCAAGGTTTGTTTTTGAAATTACATAATAAAAAGATCTCTTTGTTCATAGTTTCCCGCTTTGTGTCTGTCCTTACAGCAGCTTCTTCAGAACAGGCTGCAGCCAAAGACAGCGGTGGCACTTGCAATGCACCAGAGACGATACAAACACGTAAGAAATAGCTTCTCTAAAGAATGATTTCATATCATGCGTTATCAGCTATAAATATATTTGTATTTTTAATGTTATTTAGGAGTGTACATTAAATTGCTAAACTACATTGCATGCATTCATTTTTCTTATTATTATCCATTAATTTACTATCCTGTAATATATTTTGTTGTTGTAAATATGTATATAACAATTGAACTCTCAAAGTATATGTTGCCTTTTTTTTTTAGGTCTAGGCTAATACTTGCCTTGCTAATAGTTACTTTTCATAGGATTAAAAACTAATTACTGTCTATGCTGTAATGTTAAATTAAAATATTATAATTATGCAACAATGTTTTCTTGAACGAAAAGCAAAGCAAAACAAAACAAGCAAACCATTCTTTGATTACGAGGATACCAAATACTTTGTGTATATGTTTAAACATGTTCTTACTTATTGTTTATTGCTGTTATGAATTTATGTTCAAGATTTTGTTGTTAATATTATTATTATATATATATTTGTTAAACTATAATATACCCCATTATGTTTAACAGGGCCTCGTGGAAGACCACCATTATTGGTGATAATGAGTCACCCTGTCTAAATATCAGAAATAAATAAATAAATAAATAAATAAATAAAGTGTTAAGGATCACCAAAACTTTGATGGCACTATTTCACCGTACTACACTGTATAATGATGTGAATGGGGATATTATTTAACAAACACTATAGCAAGGGTTTTAGGCAGTGGTTTCAAAGGATGATTGTTCAAACGTGCTGTCCCGACTGACTTTGACTTTAAAAATACAATTATTTTCTTTCTATATTAGTCGGGAGATTTGTATCACTTAGCATTATGCTTCATATCATAAACGTTGACTTCAGCATTGTAGTAAAACTTATAAACCTATCAGGAATGATTTTACTTTAGGTTATATTATACAGTTCTTGGTTTTACAAAAGTGACTATGTAGTTTAACATGCAATTCTTTCCCCTTGTATAACTTTTACTTTACCCAAAGGCAACAAAGGGAGGCTCCGACAAGCCACATTGAAAGAGTGCAGCAGAAAGAAGTTTGCAGGTGGCAGAAAGCACACAACAAGTAAATTATTTGTCTTTTAAAATTGCTAATCATATCTGCAAAGAGGGTACCGGTATGTAAACAGCAGCAAATTTGGGGAAGAGCTACAGTTAATTGAATTGGCTTTCTCATTGATTACTTTTTTTTTTTAAATTCTTGTACTTGCATTTACACCTTTCGTGTCATTTTACTGAAGGAAAAAGGAATAAGGAATAGAACGTCATATTGTTATTCAGTAATGTTCAGTAATGTTACTGGATACAGGATATGTGCACTTCCTGACAACATGTTCAATGAAGAGAGATTTTAAAACACATAAGGCTTAAATGGTGACATACACAAAACAGTACTATGGGCTATATTTACAAGCCCTGCCTGAAGTTGCTTTCCTTCTTGTAAATACACATTCTGTATCCCCTTTTCTTTACGAAAAGTATACCAGTATGCAGATGATGCATACTGGAGAAGGTCAATAGTGTAACGAGCTAAAGAAAGTCGTATTATGACATTATATTATAATGTAATTGACAACCTCTTGATAGAATCTGTTCTATAAATATATATTTATCATTTCACTTTCCAAAGTACTGTATAGAAATTATGACATCAATCATGTTTATGTTGCAGGCATCATAATTCCTGAATTGGAGGGGCTCAAGATTCAACCGCTTCCTTCACTAAATGACGACAATCGTTATTCAGTATGCGGGGAGACCCTTGAGATTAGAGATTTCAAGTCCTTGCAGTTCCCTAATTGGATAAATGACAAGGTAATTTATCTATCAAAAGATGTTATTATTATCTTACTATAACCAAATATGCATTTGTATCATTTGTAATCAATATAATGCTGAAGGCTCAATGAAGAAAGAAATGTTGAGCATGATTTGCATTTCAATGAGTATAAATGGTTTATTGTAACATTTTCATATATTTTAGATTTCTGTACAGTTTTGTCAATCACATTTCTTGGGGAAGGTGGAAATCATATGTATTGTCTCATCTGTGTAGCAGGAGTGAGATGCATGTCACTTCTCAATTTATTGATCTTACATCAAAGATGTTATGACATATTGGTTGGCCATATTATAGTTAGAAGTCGGAGGGTATTTCTCTGACTGTTTTGCAATTATATAAATGATAATTATATTGCAATTGTACCATGACAAGACAGAGATATCATTCTTTCAGTAACTTTGAAAATGGTTGATTACAGATTTCTCTCTTTTTTGGTAATTCTTTAATTAGTAAATTAGCAAATTAATGTATTTTTATTCTAATTATAAAGATTTAATGCTGTCTTCTTTGCTCCTTGATAGTTCTCGATTTTTTTTTAATTATTCAACAGAATTTAGTGAGACACCAAAATAGCCCCCCTCCCCCCCTCCGAAAAAGGAAAAAAATCTAATTTATGGACATTTTCATTAATATCAGGAACATGTTTTTCCTATTTGTTGTAATAACCACTTTACCTTATGCCATTTTCAGATTCTCAATTCCTTTATGGCACTGCTGTCGAAGGAAATTAATGTCAACAGGAGTGACCACATCTTCCCAATCCCTTCGTATGCTGCAGTACACTGGCAGAGAGCTATGTATCAGACATGGCTCTTCAAGAAGGTAATGTTTCATTGTTGTCTAGATTAACTTGCTTGAAACTGTAAAATGATGTGGTTATCAATATTAGCTTAATTATCAGTACCTACTAACTAGAAGTTAGGAGTAGGCCAAATCCAGACATCAGTTTGCAAACAAAATATTTAAAAAATAAACACAACAATAAAAATATGATCCCATCATTGAAAAGTTGATATGAGCTACGTACATCAGCCAGACAAATGATTCTGAATGTAAGTCTCAAAGGTCTATAGCCCAAGGAGCCTAAAGCTACAGTCCCATATACGTCCCGGACCGTCCCGGACCATCCCGGACCCCATCCGGGGTGATCCGGGATTCGGTCCGTGTTGACACCGTGTTGGCACCGGGGTGGTCCTGGATGGTCCTGGATGGTCCTGGATGGTCCTGGATGGTCCTGGGCGGTCCGGGAGTCGACCCCGGATGTTTTTGACGGTCAAAAACTGCCGGGGTGGTCCGGGACGGTCCGGGACAATAGTTTGATCCGGGGTGATCCGTGTAGCCACCGTGCTGGGTCCGGGGTCATCCGTAGTGGCGCCGGGGCGGTCCGTGTTGATCCGTGGCAGTCCGGGAGTGAGTTATTGACCGCCCAGGACCATCCAGGACCATCCAGGACCACCCCGGTGCCAACACGGTGTCAACACGGACCGAATCCCGGATCACCCCGGATGGAGTCCGGGATGGTCCGGGACGGTCCGGGACGTATATGGGACTGTAGCTTAAAAGCATCACGCTTTTTTTGACAAAACATCCCGGACCATCCCGGATCACCCCAGACCATGGTCCGGGATGGTCCGGAGTGGTCCGTGCTCGTCCGTGCTCGTCCGGCTTTATATGGGACTGGGGCTTAAGCTATTATAGCTTTCCCAGACCCAGGGGGTCAATGACATTTCTATAGTATTGAGCCAATCATCAAGAATTGGTACACAAACTGTAGCTGCATGTACACGCCGCAAACATTCACATTTTTGATGACTTTTAAAGGTACTAGCCGTCATTTGCATACCCTCCCAAATATCGATGAAATTCAATGGGTAGAATCTCTTAGGCATGATAATAACCCTCTTTAAATTTTAGAACAAAGGGACCAATAGTTTTGAAATGAGAAGTTAATAAATTTATTTTATTTTATTTGAAGCTTGATTAGTAGCGAGGTTCTCTCAATTGTTTAATCTATATTCACTGCTCATTCCAAAGCTAAGCGTCCACTCGCTCAAAAAATTTGAAGAGGTTTATTATTATGCCAAAGAGCTTCTACCCATGGATTTTCTTGAAATTGGAGAGGGTGTGTAGATGAGGACTACTCTTTAGTGGTCCTATCTTTTCATTTTAGGTTCAAAATCCTATCAAAGATACCCTATATCATTGACTTATCAATATGTAATAAAATTATATTTATGATATTTCTCAATACAGAAAGATGTATATTGTTCTGTTGTGAGTATCAATACAAATCGTCAATGTTTGAACTTTGATGCAAGATATAATAATTAAATCAATCTAGAGAAAAAGTTGGACCTCAAAGGTTTTTTTTTTTTTTTTCTTCAATATAATAAAGTTTTATTGTATTTTATGGCTTGGTCGCAGCTATTTAAAGAAAAGAAAAAAAGAAGAATGAAACATTTTGAATGAAACATAATAAACTAGTAATTCAAAGGTTTTTTTTCTTTTTTCTTCAATATAATAAAGTTTTATTGTATTTTATGGCTGTGTCGCAGCTATTTAAAGAAAAGAAAAAAAAGAAGAATGAAACATTTTTAATGAAACATAATAAACTAGTAATTCCTAAAAATAAAATACCAAGATGCAGCTTCATTCAATGTAATATTGACAGGTTAGTTAAAATCAAGTAAAAAAGTATGAAAAACATGCATTTTATTTCATGGTTGTCATGGCTACAGGAATGTATGCATGTATGTGTCCAAAGTTTACATCAAATGTTCAGACAATATTTGAGGAAATGTCTTCCCAATTTTGTATCTTATCAACATGTGGCAGGGGGGGGGGGCACAAAGGGGAACAACTGGACCTTTTAGAAATTGTGAGCTATAGAAGGCATTAGTACTAGCAACAAGTACCGTAGTGCAATCCCACTTTAAACACTTAAATATATTCACCAAAATTTGTAGAAATTGTCCTTAAGAGAAGGGGGTCTAATGGAGTTCCCAATGGGTAGTGTTGCTAGCTCACACATATATCTGTATACTGTCATCTATAGGTGAACATGCAAAAGTACAAATGGATCTTTCTGCCATTCAACGTTAATAAGAGTCACTGGGTACTCTTGGCAGCTGATGTGCAGAGAGGAGAAGTTTCGGTTCTGGACTCCCTACCAACCAATCCCAACACATCCATCAACTGCATAAAGAAGTTCAAGTGAGGAATCTTTTATTAGAATAAATGCAGTATATACAATAATGTTTTCTCTTCAGGCAAGGACTCCTAGACCACTATTGATGTATGATAGTGTCACATTGAGTTGAGCATATTTCATAAACATACCTTTTTCACCAAGTTGAATTGAGTTAAGAATAGTTGAAGGAGTAGCTCAGACTAACCCTCATTTGCATCCCCCTTCATTTTTTGTTACTATATACCATGGCGCTAGAATTGGGCTATAACTGCTTGATGTTTTTTTAAATTTGTATTAATGCAGCAAGTCTATCCAACATTTTATTAGGACAAAATCAATTGTTTTATTTCACTCTGTATTCTGAATGATTGCGCTCTATGAGCTGCCATATATGTTGCAATGAGCTTTTATAAGAAACTAGATCAACCCCAAGCTTCCATTGATCATTAATTAATACTACTACTAGTAAAACAGCAAACATGTTAATTGAAATCAAGTGGCACTTATACCGTTCAAATATGTTTTAAGATCTTTGTAAGTAAATTTGTTTAATTGTGCAAATATAATAATATATATTGTTTTGTTTAAATGCTACTTGTTACCTGGGCAATAATTTTTGTCTGCCCTTCATGACAATTAATTTAATTTTATATTAATGCACATATTGTAAATTTCAAATCAAGGAGTATGCTATGAAATATTAAGATGTTTTGTAATTTCAAATTTTATTCAAGAGCCTACATGGCATGCAGATCAGAGAAAATTGGAGACCTAGCTGGAACGTCATGGAAGGTTGGCAATCTCCAGTCTGCCAGGCAAGAAGATGGACATTCCTGTGGGGCATTTGTCATGTTGGTAAGAATAACCCATCAGTTTTATTCTATGGATTGTTTCATGCTGTTTACATAATAATTAGGAGATGTGGTCTTAAGGTGTTTGATGGAGGACATCATTCCCCTCACCCCCACGGGGACTTATATGTATACATGCATAAAGGCCAAGATCCACTTTCTAGTTGCCAAATGGGCACTGCTAGGTCTCTATTTTGCAGTTTAGTACAGTGGAACCTTGTTATAAAGAGTTCTGATAAACCAAGGTACCCAATATAAGAGGATTCTTTTGCTGGCCCAAATTCTTATTGATTATGTCACTAGTTTTATGCCTCTGCTACAAACTAGCCGGAGGCATTATGTTTTCTGGTTGTCCGTCTGTAGGCCTACGTCCCATTCTCGTGATCGCGTTATCTCAAGAAAAGATTGATGGATTACTGCCAAACTTAAGTCATGTATGTATCTTGAAGTGATTAGATTTTGGGGTCAGAAGGTCAAAGGTCACATGGCTCATTATATATGCAAAAATAGCTTGTGATCGCGTTATCACAAGAACTGATTGATGGATTCCTGCCAAACTTAGATCATTTATGTATCTTGCAGAGCCAATGAACTGATTAGATTCTTGGCTCATAAGGTCAAAGGTCATGGGCTCATTATGTGCGCAAAAATAGCTAGTGAACGCATTCTCATTAGAACTGACAGATGGATTACTATTTAACTCAGGACATCTTGCAGAGCCAATGAACTGAGTAGATTTTAGGGTCATGAGGTCAAAGATCAAAGGGTCATATATGTATATGAGAAATTGCTTGTAATCACGATATTCTGAGAACCTGTTAATGGATTACAATTGAAATTGAATTTGAAAAAAATTCTTCTGTTTTGGTGTGTAAAATTGCTCTATGATGGAGGCATCATTTTCGACTGCGCGCAGTCGAAGTTCCATTTAGTTTCTTATTCTTTTTTTCAATTTATTTTGCTGCAGAATGCTCTTGCCATTACAAGAGGGATTGATCCTCGAAGCGTTGGGAAATATGCCAAAGACATGAGGGTTTATGTCCAGAATAAACTGACCACCAACGCTGTGCCCCCACCTGACCAGCGGAAAACCTGTGACATGGTTGAGTGTCTGATGGCCCTTTCAAAGAAACAACCTACCAGCACCCGACCTAAATGGGTGCAGTGCGATGTTTGTGGTCGCTGGCTGCATCTGTACTGTGTCTCAATCAGTGAGGCACCAGGGGAAGGTATTGATTATGTATGCCCGGTTTGTTGCGCTCAATATGCATAGTCATTGTGAGTGATGGAAAGCGTATGGTGATAGTAGATTTCATTGAGCTAGATCCTGTGAAGCAGTTAAAGCCAAAGCCCCTGCTTGCATGAGCTTCATCTTGAGATTCTACTAATCAAATAGAATTTCCACAACGCTTTCTTGATGATTTCATTCACATGACTATTCCACCAGAGGTTAGCCTGGATAATAACCCCAAGCAATTTCAACTCCTTGACTTCTTCAAGAACATTGTTACACAGCTCAATGCGTGGAAAGGGGATGGCCGCTCATGAAAACAATACTTGCATCACTTTGCACTTTGCTGGATTTACCCTGTGGCATACCTCCACTAGGCATCAAGGATGTTGACAGAACACCGTGGTATCTCGTCACCTGTACCCTTTGGTGTAAAAAGCTGCAAATCCATGGGAGGAGTGCTGGACGGGCACCCATTAGGTGAAGCTTGCTAACAGCAATGTTGTGGTTCACTAAATCAAATGCCTTGGTGAAGTCAGTTATCACCATAGTTGACACAGTCTGTGGCTTGTCTGCATTACTGTGCAAGGCCAACAAGGTAGTGGATAGTGGAGACACCTTGTCGGTTGCCAAACTGCTGCTTGTCGATTCCTTGACAATGTCACCGAACACCCACCAATAGGTCGAAGTTTGTCAATAGCTAGTGGAGATTCCTTGGGGACTGGACAGACAGTTGACTTCTTCCACTGCATATGGACTACTCCTTCGAGCAAGGATTCATTGATGACATCACAAAGTGGGGAGCTCCTTTCATGGATCAACTCTTTGACTTTTAATGTGACCCATGGCTTATCTTTACGATGTACCTTAATTCACTTGGAAGGGAAATAAAGGTTGTTCACTGAGTTGAGATCACTGTAGAAAGCTTCACACTTTGCGTTTGCTCCATTTGCATTATATACTGAAGACCAGTCATGATGGACGATCCAGTCACCAAAGCATCTTACGTCCGAATCTCGCATTAGTTTGATGGTTTTGCGACAAGTTTGATTTCTGTGTCTTACTTGGTTGGCTTTTGGATGCCATATTACTCCATTGTGGTCACTACGTCCTAAAGGCAATATTAGTTGAACAGGGGAGTAGTGCAGGTGTAAGTTGGTGATCTTATCCAAAATGGCATCTTTTTGTGTTGCCTTGTTAACAACTTGTTTCAGTCTATGACTATTGATAAGTTGCGTCAAATCTAATCGGTTAACATCTCAAGTATGATTATTCCTGTGTCTTAATTGATATCTCGCAAAATTCTCATCTCGCAAAATTCTCATCCGTAGAGTTAATCAAGTGTTGAATGCAGAATGCTACTATCTGGATGATTCGGGGGGTAATATACACCAACGCCACAAAGATAGATGATACAGTGCGGGGTAATCAGTGTGGCTGTAGTCTGATCCAGACAACCTCAAGTTTGGGTGGTACGCTGATAAATGGCACGGGGGTGTTGATCTATGCCATCCAAAAGTGTGAAAAGTGGCTTTTCTTAGCTTACCTAATGTTGCAAAGGGTTTTGAATCTGCCATACTGAGCTTTGACAACTGACCCTACCCACAATACTAAATGTTACTTAGAATTATGGACGTCTGTAATTATGAACAATTTTTTGAAATTAATGGGTCTTTCCAAAGAAAATGTTACGGTATATGTAGTTGTGCATGCAGTTAGGGCTTCAATATTACACCATATCACAGACACTGGTAACATGTAGGAACGTGTATCTCAGATTTAACATTGTTAAACGATCCCTTTAAAGGTAATACAAAGTTTTGGGAAATTTTGAAAATTGGGTGGATAGCGATTCTCTACAATTTTGATATATTTGGATGCCCCTGTGAATGTTTCATAAGCACTAGAAAATTTAGCTCCTGAAACACTTCTGCTTGATGAATTTCAAATAGCCCTGTACAATGGTAGCTGCGACCATGAACATCTCAGAACATGCAGTTGTGATATATAATTTCCAAACGGAAATAGCTTATTGGTCAATTTCAGTCAAGAAACATTGTTTTACAGCTTAATTGCTATATTGACCTTGAGAGGGAGCTATACAACATAAATAGTTTATTATTTACAATTTCATAATTTGGACTCGATTTCAACCGCGACAACGATCACTGAATATTGTAGGATCCCACATGTTTCCATTATGTTCATTTGAACCAAATTCATGACCCCATACCAAAACGTTGTATTACCTTTATTAAATCAAACAATACTACAGAGAAATGTTTCTTCTTTAGAAATGTGATAATTAATAGACAGCATTATAGAGTTATATTTCTCCATATTATATTAAACTCTACTCGGGACATTAGCTGGACATACAGAAACAGGGTGCAGAAGCAGGACCCTTAAGTTAAAATTTTGATTTATATTTTGCTCATCCCTAGCTTGATGTTGAGGATAGATGTCCAAAATACTTTGTTTAATCATAAAAGAGAAATTTTAATATGAATTTTAGTGCAGCCATTGATCAATCGGTTCAGTGACCATTACTTACAATGCAGGTTTTAACAACAACAAGAATCTTTTTTTTTTTCTTTTCTTTTTAGCATTAAAGAAAAAATACAAATTCTAATAAAACAGATGATGATGTAGCCTTTAATGTCCCTACTGAGGTCCAGTATATTTACGTTTGCTCCTTTATTACTCAGCATGCATAACAATAGCTGGACACAAATATGTCCTGCAACTAGTAGTGTCCAGTATTATGTGATTAAGTGATGTGGGGACATTTTTGTATCATCTATGAAAATATGTTTAAGTGGTACATTTGACATGTTCAGGATATAAATCTATGAGCTTCAGCGACCTGAATTCCTTTTAATGCTGTAGCACTGGAAAGGCAAAGTCAACCTCAGCCCTTAAAGGTAAAGACCAGTATTGGTAACGCCCCAATTTCAAAAAATGAAATGGAAGCTCTCATTACCAATCATGTGAAAGAATATGTTTTGACTAATACATGATGATAACAAATTTGCCGGGAAACCGCCTACTAATTCATATATTTGGTAAATTTATTTCTCTCATGGTCGTGTGAGAGAGATAGGGTAGTCCCATATACATCTTTCTGTGTATAGTGCTTGTAACTTTACGAAGAATGGGCCAAATTTCTTATCATTTTGATGATTCCAGAACCTTGCAGATGCTAGATGCTAGATGATCAACCTTTTCTGATTGATTCCACGTTTCTTTCACAATGCAATCGCATGACCATTACTGGTCTTTACCTTTAAGCAAAACCAAAAAATGAGTTTGTATGTATTCAAGTTTCCATCGAATAACATATAATATTCAAATCCATGAACAAGTTATAGTATTGGTTATCTGTTCATTTCAACAATTCATGTCATAGTGAAAATAATCAGTTAATAGGGCCTGACTATGAAGTTGTAAAAAGCAAAGGGAAATATGTCAGAGCAAATAAATATGATTTTTTTTTATTTTTTAAATTGAACGAAACCCTTCATAGTTTCATTGAGTGCTGTTAAAGATGATTCCTTTTTTGCTCATATAGAAACCAGCATGAGTATTATACATATGTGTTGATGTGATTTCAAGGTTATACCCATCATGTCTTTGTAAAGTTTGTTTTGACTGACAACCGACAAGTACTCAACTCATGCTTATTATAGATGTAGTCAACACATTGGCTCTAATGAATGCATCAGTAAGTGTTTCAGTATATGCATTTCTTATTTTTTTCAAAAAAAATTCAAAAAAATAATGATAGTCAAATTGGTAATTACGTGTTGTAATTTGAGGTTTAAGAGTTTAGACAAATATATATAACAAATATCACTGAAAACAAAATAGATATAAATATAAATATGTATAAAGAAATATATGGCTCATAAATTCATTTTAGCATGAGCTATTGAAAAGCCCAAATACGTCGTCAGAAAGATGCTACTGTCATTCGTTCTGCTCTCAATTGTATTTTAACCCAACCCTGCACGCAAGATGGTGAATAATTGTGTGGTTTTTGTTTCGTTTTGTTTTGGGTTGTAATATTTTGTATGGCCAGCCATAAGAACTTTGGGGGGAGGGGGAGCCAACATAATAAAGGGAAAATAGATTACTTATTTTTTATTATTGTTGTGTATAACTTGATATTGGACACTTGATATTTTATATTGTCAGACTGGGCATATTATGTTTAATACTAAAGTCATTTGCTGAAAAAGTTAAATTTGTAAAATCCAATACTGTATGTGGTATCAAAGGGTTTGTAGCATATTTATAATTTTTTTTCTGAACCAATCTTTGAAAGAAAACAAACTTTTAATTCAAAACTAGTTCTGTGGTAAAGCACATTCTATTTTTTATCAGGTCACATGCCTCACGATTTTTTTCTTCCAGTGTAAATTTGAGTTGATGGAGAAGTTAACATAATCTTTGTTAAGTACATGAAAATAACGTTCATCGGTTCAGTCTAGAAACTCCACACATAATCTTTTTGATACATTACCATTTTATAATGTGTAACTTAATGGCAATATAATAACACTCAATCAAGCAGAATATTTGTTTGTGATCTTTATTTTTTAGGTTGTTGAAATTGATTTACATGTAAATGTTTATGTAGTTAAATGTTTAAAATGAGCAAAAATTAAGTGGGAACAAAAGTTTAAAACATGATCTTATCAAGTTTTATGGAATGAATGGTTAGAACGCAGTTTTTTAGAAGATACTACGGTAAATTATGACCATACACAACAGGTCGTATGAGCGGCACTAGTGGTCGGGTCTGTGATATAAATAACACATTAATAAAGGAGCAGAACTAGAGGTCGTATGAGCAGCACTAGTGGTCGGGTCTGTGATATAAAGAACACATTAATAAAGGAGCAGAACAAGAGGTCGTATGAGCGGCACTAGTGGTCGGGTCTGTGATAAAAAGAACACATTAATAAAGGAGCAGAACTAGAGGTCGGGTCTGTGATATAAAGAACACATTAATAAAGGAGCAGAACAAGAGGTCGTATCAGCGGCACTAGTGGTCGGGTCTGTGATATAAAGAACACATTAATAAAGGAGCAGAACATGACACAAATATAATTGAGAAAATATACATATATTAGCAAGTGTAATTTATGGAGCATATGTAGCGGTCGATGGAGCACATCTCCAAGGCGATTTCTATAAACGGACACAAAATGATAAAAATGAGTCAGAAATAATATATCTACATCAATGCTTTCTCTGAGGAGATGTATCAGTGCGATTCCAGATGATATTTATTCACATGACGCAAATATAATTGAGAAAATATACATATATTAGCAAGTGTAATTTATGGAGCACATGTAGCGGTCGATGGAGCACATCTCCAAGGCGATTTATATAAACGGACACAAAATGATAAAAATGAGTCAGAAATAATATATCTACATCAATGCTTTCTCTGAGGAGATGTATTAGTGCGATTCGAGATGATATTTATTCACATGACAAAAATATAATTGAGAAAATATACATATATTAGCAAGTGTAATTTATGGAGCACATGTAGCGGTCGATGGAGCACATCTCCAAGGCGATTTCTATAAACGGACACAAAATGATAAAAATGAGTCAGAAATAATATATCTACATCAATGCTTTCTCTGAGGAGATGTATTTGTGCGATTCCAGATGATATTTATTCACATGACACAAATATAATTGAGAAAATATACATATATTAGCAAGTGTAATTTATGGAGCACATGTAGCGGTCGATGGAGCACATCTCCAAGGCGATTTATATAAACGGACACAAAATGATAAAAATGAGTCAGAAATAATATATCTACATCAATGCTTTCTCTGAGGAGATGTATTTGTGCGATTCCAGATGATATTTATTCACATGACACAAATATAATTGAGAAAATATACATATATTAGCAAGTGTAATTTATGGAGCACATGTAGCGGTCGATGGAGCACATCTCCAAGGCGATTTATATAAACGGACACAAAATGATAAAAATGAGTCAGAAATAATATATCTACATCAATGCTTTCTCTGAGGAGATGTATTAGTGCGATTCCAGATGATATTTATTCACTTGACGCAAATATAATTGAGAAAATATACATATATTAGCAAGTGTAATTTATGGAGCACATGTAGCGGTCGATGGAGCACATCTCCAAGGCGATTTATATAAACGGACACAAAATGATAAAAATGAGTCAGAAATAATATATCTACATCAATGCTTTCTCTGAGGAGATGTATTAGTGCGATTCCAGATGATATTTATTCACTTGACGCAAATATAATTGAGAAAATATACATATATTAGCAAGTGTAATTTATGGAGCACATGTAGCGGTCGATGGAGCACATCTCCAAGGCGATTTATATAAACGGACACAAAATGATAAAAATGAGTCAGAAATAATATATCTACATCAATGCTTTCTCTGAGGAGATGTATCAGTGCGATTCCAGATGATATTTATTCACATGACGCAAATATAATTGAGAAAATATACATATATTAGCAAGTGTAATTTATGGAGCACATGTAGCGGTCGATGGAGCACATCTCCAAGGCGATTTATATAAACGGACACAAAATGATAAAAATGAGTCAGAAATAATATATCTACATCAATGCTTTCTCTGAGGAGATGTATTAGTGCGATTCGAGATGATATTTATTCACATGACAAAAATATAATTGAGAAAATATACATATATTAGCAAGTGTAATTTATGGAGCACATGTAGCGGTCGATGGAGCACATCTCCAAGGCGATTTCTATAAACGGACACAAAATGATAAAAATGAGTCAGAAATAATATATCTACATCAATGCTTTCTCTGAGGAGATGTATTTGTGCGATTCCAGATGATATTTATTCACATGACACAAATATAATTGAGAAAATATACATATATTAGCAAGTGTAATTTATGGAGCACATGTAGCGGTCGATGGAGCACATCTCCAAGGCGATTTATATAAACGGACACAAAATGATAAAAATGAGTCAGAAATAATATATCTACATCAATGCTTTCTCTGAGGAGATGTATTAGTGCGATTCCAGATGATATTTATTCACTTGACGCAAATATAATTGAGAAAATATACATATATTAGCAAGTGTAATTTATGGAGCACATGTAGCGGTCGATGGAGCACATCTCCAAGGCGATTTATATAAACGGACACAAAATGATAAAAATGAGTCAGAAATAATATATCTACATCAATGCTTTCTCTGAGGAGATGTATCAGTGCGATTCCAGATGATATTTATTCACATGACGCAAATATAATTGAGAAAATATACATATATTAGCAAGTGTAATTTATGGAGCACATGTAGCGGTCGATGGAGCACATCTCCAAGGCGATTTATATAAACGGACACAAAATGATAAAAATGAGTCAGAAATAATATATCTACATCAATGCTTTCTTTGAGGAGATGTATTAATGCGATTCTAGATGATATTTATTCACATGACGCAAATATAATTGAGAAATATACTTGTATTAGTAGCAAGTGTATTTCATCGAGCACAATCAGCACATAGAATAAAAATAACAATAATGCTACGCTATCCAAAGTGCTTTGCATTGCACGTATGTAAAGGACTAAGCGGCGCATGCCTGGCCTGATCGTGACGTTTCATGACGTCACGATATGAATATTCAGTATAGACCTGTAGGTGTGCTCCAAACGACGCACCCTAGTATATAGCTCTATGGCTGTATAGCCTACATAATGTGTACATAGTTGAGTGATTGGGGTTTTGGACCCCTAGCCACTGAATTCTACACTGTACTGAGTTCTACACTGTCTGCGCTCTCTATTCTGCGAACTTGAAATATTGAGGTCCGCAATATTGACCAGATTTGGAGGATTTTGTTAAAAGCTTTTGTTTTTCCTTTTACCCTGGCTAGACTGGGCGCTCCCTTTTTCGAGTACCCCTATAGTGCACCTTTTAATTGCAGATACGTTTTACTATGTCTAATAATTGTGCCCCTTCCCCCTTAATTAAGCGCCCCTTTTTCAACTATGATAAGTTCCCCTACTCTAATCTGATACGTGCCCCATTTTGGTAGGTACTTTGACACCCCCTTTTCTTTTGCATGAAATGCCCTGTTCACCTTTCTTATAAATACATGCTTTTCACCTGACAAGACTAGTGCCACTCCAAAATCTGATAGTCCGCCCCTTTTACTTTGATATGTGCCCTTTTCCATTTGTAATAAGATAATTTTCCGTTTTAAGAAGCGTCCCTTGTTATTTCTGATGAGTGCCTCTTTTACTTTGACAAGTGCATGCTCATTTTTTTAAATTTTTTATTAGAATCCTTTCCCTTCCTGATGAGTGCCTACTCTCTAAAAAAAAATCGAGTGATCACGGACGTCACTTCTCTGGAGAGTGAAAATGTAGTGAAAATAGAGTGAACATTCACTCTTTTCTTCTTAGAGAGCACTCTAAATTCAATCGATTTTCACTCCTAAACAAGTGATCACGGACGTCACTCCCAAGAAAGTGAAAATAGAGTGAAAATTCACTCTCTTTTTTTAAAGAGAGTATTTTACTTTTGCGGCCCTTATCCTTCTTCACATCTGATAAGTGCCCCTTTCAAAAATAATATAATCCACATAATTTTGCGGATTGTGTAGGCCTATAAATCACCAAAATGACATCGCCTCCTAAGTTTCACCATTGTTGCCCCCTCCCCCAGCCCCTCCTCAGCCCATTATGTGCGACTGGTATATAAAATAGTGAATATATTTTCTGTTATTACATTTTTATGTTTTGTGCTAACCCCCCCCCCCCCCCCCCCCCCCCCCACTCTCGGTGATTTTTTTTTTTTTTTTTTTTTTAAGAGTTGGTTGAATGGCGAGTTATTTGAAATACTTCCTCCATTTTTTTTTTGTCTTCATTTTTACTTTTCGCACACCTGTGACAATCATGCCCTAATAAAAATGAAATCAGGGTTGTCCCTTTTTGATGAATTTCCAAGTTTTCACCCAAACTATTCACCAAGTTTCCATTTGTTAAAAAGTTTTAATGCTAAATTTGTTAAAGATTTTTTTTCTGGGGCAGGGGTTTACATCCCATCAGTATCCCATTGCTAGCTTGAAACTACCCATATGAAAAAATAAATAACTGAGAATGCCTTATTAAGGGGTTCTTTTTAATGAAAGAAAACTCGTAGGAACACTTCAAAAAGTTAATTACAAAGACAATACTTGACAAATGTAAACTGACTGTTAAATGGTAACTTTTAATACATTTATCGCTGTACAAAAATATATTTTCGAACTTAGTTTACACATCTTTATTTTTAGAATCGTGATTCAACATCATCATGAATTTAAACAACCTGAGTTTGATTACAAGAAAAGTAGACAAATCAAATGTATGGCATTATAAAATAATATCAGTTATCATGTGTTTCGTCTAGTTTTTAGCAAGGCAACACCTTCAATGCAAGCGGCGTAGTTACTGGTAACACGGGACACCTCCCCCCCCCCCCCCCTCCCCCCTCCCCCTCCCCCCTCCCCCCTCCCCCCCCCCCAAGTGGTGACAAACGAAATGACAGAAAAGGCAAGGTGGAGGAGAAAAGGACGAGGAAAAAACGCTTGGATCACCACTGTAATGATCATTAATGTTGGGGGCAAATGAAAGCGTATTTTACAAGGTCTAAACTTTTCACCTTTTCAATTCTTCTCATAATATATGTAATTTCCTCGTAATCTATACAGTAACAAAGCGATTATGTGAATATATTTTTTAACAATATCACGACTGTTGGTTCGGTTCTGCGTTTTTTTTCTTAGAATTACGCTGTCTGCGACCTGGTGACCGAGTTCTAAGGAATAGTGATATTTTGTTTGTGTCAAGATTTAAACAAAATGACAAAATGACCCTTTGTTTTCATTTATGTACATGCCAACTTGTGAATTTTTAAAAACAAAGTCAGATGAAATAATTATACATTATTGCATTGGACCTAAATGGAGAAAAAAATGGTGCGTTAAACTTTTATCTATGACAGATCCAAGAAAGTATACTGGGGGCAAGGGCGTATCCAGTATTTTGTAAGGGGGGGGGGGGGCAGTTTTTTGCCCAATTCGTGAGAAAATATTTAGCGGCGAATCAGCCAGCCGGCGAATAAGCGGAAGGGGGGGGGGGGGGGTGTAAGGAGCACTGTTTTTTAAATTTTATTTTGCCCAATTCGTGAGAAAATATTTAGCGGCGAATCAGCCACCCAGTAAATAAGGGAGAGGGGGTGGGGCGTGGCCCATTTTCATTGTTTGTAAATAAAAACATGTTGGTCCCCCATGATCCTCTTTTTGTTATGTTAGTTGAGAGCTGAGTTAATGAGTAGCCACCTGTCAGTGACCTCGCTGTGTGGTCTAATCCCTTCTGGCCCAGTAGTATTGACGATCTTTAAGTTATGAAGCTAAAAACTTATTATCAACATTGTACATTTCCTTTTTGTCATACATATAAATATAAAGATAAAAGTGTAATCACTTGCAACTGATACAATATTCAAATGAATTTTTTTCAGAAGATAATACAAACATACAATAGTAAAAAAACAAAGCAACATTCATAACAACGTCAATTAAAGGAAAGAGAATATCATCACCAAGTTTAGTTCAATTAGTAATATAATCACAAAACGTAATACCCGATCAAAATAGTTTACAATAAACTGTGAAAGACAATGTGTATAGGAAGAACTGGATTTTTTTTTATTTGTTAAAACAATATGCTGCAAAGTTATCATGAGACAGCCTCTTTTACATCTACATTACACCAATAATATATTCACACGATAATTTCGTCATAATCTTGTTGCCCACAAAAAAGTTGCGTCATTTTGGTTACCCTCTGGTAACTTTTCACAAGTCCTGTGAGACCAACACATTTTCGGTCGAGCTAATATCAGTCTCGTGGATAATTGTTGCCTGAAGGCACTCTTGACCAATTATAGTTTCGGTCTGGTAGTACTATATCGGCCTCCTGTGCTGAAGCCCTCTACGTTGGCCCACAGAATGAATACCTTGTCTTGTCCATATACAATTTGTTTTGGTTTTAAGTGAATGGTGAATCAGAGAGGTGTGGAGTTAGATGTGACGTTTACTGCTTCTGGTTGTTCTGGATCTAAAACAAAGAAGGTAGTCAAAAATAGAATAAGAGATGGATGAGGGAAAGAGAGAGAGAAAGAGAGAGAGAGAGAGAGAGAGAGAGAGAGAGAGGAGAGGGAGAGTAAAAGAGGTGAAAAATAACATAACCAATTATTTCAGATGATACAATCCTTTAAAAACGGAAAAGTAGAAATCTTAGTATTACACAAAAAATGTGTTTAACAATTTCAGCCCAAATACTGGAGTAATGTTGTCATTTTACTTTCAATCTATATCAATATGAATTTTTAATGAAATTCAATCGAACATTCGTCCTATAACACCTGCTTAAATTCAAGAGATGTCGTTGTCTGCCACTGCTCATGCTGGGAGTCCAACAAAAGAGATCAAAATGCAAAAGTCAAAATAATCATCGGCAAAAAGAAAATAATCAAAATGTAGCGGAACCATTGAAAAAAGCAGCAACCGAGCGCAGGAATTAAAGGGGAAGTCCACCCTGAAATTAAGTTAGTTTTAATAGGAGTAGAAAAATGAGAGAAACAAGTCAGTGAAAGTTTGAGCAAATTCCGATTAAAAATAAGAAAGTTAGGATTTTTGAAGTTGTGATCAATCAAACACAAATTGGCAACTCTATGACGTATCATGCGAGCTCAACTTCCATTTGCTCAGTACTAAAAAAATCTAAAATTTTCATTTTCCCTCAAGAAAAATTTCAACCATACATGCACCCTAAATATAATAATTGCAAATATGTTTCTATACTCCCCCTGCAAGGAACAAATATATATTCCGTCATCAATAACGAAGAAAACATGATTTTATGGAATATTATGCACAAAGCAAATGAAGGAGAGCTCGTATAATAAGTCACAGAGTTGCCAATTTGTATTTGATTGATCACAACTTCAATAATTCATAACTTTCTTATTTTCATTCAGAATTTGCTCAAACTTTCACTCACCTGATTTCCTTATTATTCTGCCTCTATCGAAACAAACTTATCTTGGGGGTGGACTTTCGGAAGTTTAGAGAGGGAGGGAGGGAGAGAGAGAGAGATAGAGAGAGAGAGAGAGGGGGAGGGGTGAGGGGTAGGAGGAAAAGTTTTAAAAAACTGAAAATATGGGAAGAATATGGTATTAGTAAGAAGAAAAAAGAGGAAGGGGAGGAATTCAGAAAAAGAACAAATACCCACAATAATGGTCATGAATGAGATAAAGCAATACAAAAATTTTAAAAAATAATAATAGAAATGACGTAATCTCCACAACTTACCAAGTCGCTTTCTTCGTCGGCAGCAGCCCGTGAAGTTTGGACAGAATGGCAGATAATAGAAGCACGGTACTTTGTTGATCACCCGCATCAATAACCAGGGTAGCTCATAGCACTTGTTGACGAGCTCGGTCACCTTTTCATTGACGGTTCCGTCCTCTCCGTCCCCTGTGAGGCGTTGAAATTTGATGATCCCCCTCTCTTCAATCGTTCCTAGAAAAGAACAACGAAAACATGGCAGCTATAATAATAATAATAATAATAATAATAGGCATTTGTATAGCGCCGTCTATCTAGACAATGCTATTCCGAGGCGCACAAGAAAATTAGAAAGAATGAGAAAGTTTGGACGAGAAAGTTCGGATGAGCTATGGTTACTATATTTTCTACGTTTGTTGATGATATTATCTCTCACTTTTTATACCTTTCCTCGTTTCATTGACGATTAACATGAGCTCGGAGTCAGAGGCGTTGCGTGTCCAGCCGTTGAGGGGCACCGGCGCCGTTAAGAGAGCAACCCCCCTAAAAAAAAATACACACTGGTACTCAGAGGGTCTTCTTTCATTGCTCATTTCCCCCGTTCTCTCTTTTTTCATATCTCCTTTCTTTTCATTGCCTTGGGAGGGCATGTCCCCCGACCCCCTCCCCGTCCCCGCCATGTAGTTGCTACGCCACTGCTGGATTCATCACAATATCTTACCTGGGATGGTGTTGTCCAGTATAAAACCAAAGAATCCTCCAACAAACATACTGGTACTTAGGAGAACAACGATGATTTGGTCCAGTTCAGGTACGCCTACAATAAACAAAATAAGTATTTACCTTTATTGAACCATTAACTATTATGACAGAAATTCTCATAATATTTAGTATTTAGTCAAATACAGCCAAACATGTTTATTAAGGACACAGAAAGTGGCCATTGTAAACAGGTTCTTCAAAACACATATCATATTTCGAGAGGTAGTTAATATCGATGACCACTAAAGACAGGTGGTCTTCACACGGGGATGGCCGCTATAACAGGTTGACTATACCTTTATATCGATGGTTGGCTAATTGGATAGACAGACAGAAAGATTCACGTACACTATATAATAATGTATGTTATACCATTTGATAATATAACTTGACAAACTTGGTTTCACAATTAGAACAAAAATTATCTGTTTCTGTAGACCACCAATCAGATCAACCTCTTCTTTATGAAATAATAAAAAAAACATAACATAAAATATTATGTCTACGGGCATGCCCAGATATAATAATGCATTATTTCTTAATTACAGCTTGATGATTGAGCAACATTTGTATTTCCAAATGCTTTTAAAAATATCCAGGGTAATCTCTTTCCTTCTCAAAACATATAAAATTGCCTTGAGCTTTCGCTCTGGCAGGCTTGTGATCTGCACAATGGTTTACTAACTAATGTCTGTATTATCTTTACTAAAGAACGAAAAAGGTTATGCGGTTTATACTTTACGTTATACAACAAAAAGTCTTACAAAATATATCTACACGTTTACATAAAATGTATTATTTAATACCTGTGGCAATGTACGCCGCGTTCTCTTCACTCGAGATCCAACTCGGAATACAAAGACCCGAAAATATTGCAAATCCAAGGACGAAGATATTTCGTGATGAGTTGAGATCAACGAACTGAAGGTTCGATAAGCCCACCGCTGCCACCATTCCTGTGTAACAGATGGGGAGAAGTATTGTCAACAGAGTACCGAAGTGCTAACGTCATATTCGCGCGTCGTCCAGGTAACTGGTTCTAAACAACAGAGACTGCGCATGAGGTTCACCGCTAAATCATTCAAGCAACAGACTGGATCAGGGCCAATTCAGTGTTTCGGGCTGGTGTTCTCACCACACCATTGTTTGGCACAAAATTGTTTGGAACCAGCTACCTGAACAACCAGTATGACGTCCCACATAGGTTGTATTATGTAGAATATGAGGTTAAAAATTATAACAAGACAAAGGTGGTAAGGGGAAGAATAGAGCAGGAGAGGGAGAGTTAAGATCAATGTACGTAAGGTTTGATAATCCCACCGCTGCCACCATTCCTGTGTAACACACATTTTAAAGGAGATTTAGGTTACAGTCGGGTTAATAAATTATTAACCCGACTGTCAATCAAGATATTGAGACTACTGTCTGTATCGGAACGATGAACAACATTTTCTTTATATTTTGTTTACTCTTGTCATAACTATGATTTTGTTTTCTGTCCGATGCACCCGGGTGTCAACCTAATCATACAATCGTGTGCAAAGGGCATTAATGATGACGTATCTCACCAAACATGACGAAGAACATCCCTCCCACGATTGGATCAGGAATGGTGACGAAGATGGCAGCAAACTTGGGTAGACACCCAACGAGGATCATTATCGCTCCCCCGGTTTGAATGACTCTTCTACTCCCCACCTAAAACCAGATAATAAATTATGATAAGATATACGCTATGAACATGACGGACAAAGAAAGGGGACAAAGTATACAGTTCCTCATTCTACCCTCAACAATAATTTACTGTGGTAGACAAAGGGACATCTCTTCACTGCTATTATGTAAAAATGTGTAGAACAGGTGAATAAGCATGTGACACCTGTTATACGCATTTCTACATAATAGCAGTGAAGGAATGTTTCTTTGTCTACCACGGGGTCTACCACAGCAATTGTTGAGGGTAAAATGAGGAACTTTATAATGTTGTCCTCTTTCTTTGTCCGTCATGTTCATAGTGATAATCAACACGATTATCCTCTCTGAATAGACCAGTTCTCTAAAATATTCAAATTTATGCACGTTTCTTCCTGGGGACCTAGTGACGAGTCATACCATCAACATAAATGAACTACAACACTTGGAACCCAGTCCACTCGGATTCGGACAAGTTTTCAGGCTGTCAATAAAAACCTTTGTTCAAATAGTATGCATAATATTTGAATATGCTAGTAAACCGGTCTGACTTTTAGAAACAATGATTTGGAGCTTTATAGCCCAATTGGTTTTTATGTAATTACCAGCTACTCTTTTGTTCTCGTTGTGATCGACAAGTATAAGCGAATGAGCCAAAACAAATGAATATCGTGCTCAGATTTGGCGACAAAATGTTAAATGTGGGACATAATCCTTCAAATCCAATTTGAATGAGAGGACAAAATTAACTAGCCCGTCCTCTGATGAGTTTGAACCTTGAAGATGGAAGCTCATTATAGTCTCTCATCTAAATAAGATCGTTAAGTTCAATTAAGCTGATATATCTTTGCAAAATCGGCTACGCCCTTGAATTACATTTTACAACTTAATTATTAATATTCCTCGTAAATTCTTTGTGTTTTGTGTTTTTCGTAACTCAAGAATGAAAGGTGGACTGTTGAAATAGGGCCTTTGTTAAATAGTTTTGGATGTGGGTTTCAATACTTCACACTCTCTAGAAACATAAATTGGGACAAATAAATATTCCACATTCAAAACTTGGTAAGGGTAAGAATAATTTAGTTGTAAATGATCAATTCATAATCGGAGCAATAACCTAATTCGTTCCCTTTTCCTTTTTTAAATCACTTTCTGATTTTATTGTGGATACAAGACTCGAATCCACCCTGCACATCCTCATCTCTTTAAATTTGTTAAAGAAAAAACATGACTGACCTTTGTAATGCCGATGGCGCCAATGTTTTCACTGTACGATGTTGTCCCGTTCCCCGACCCGATAGCTCCAGCGAGCACGCACGAAAGACCTTCGATCAATATACCACGATTCACCGCGTGGTTTGGAGGGGGCGGGGCTCCAGCTAGTCGGGCACATGCGTAGTAGTCGCCCACCGATTCGATCATGGAGGCGAGAACCCCTGCTAGCATGCCGAAGACTCCGGCGATCGTGACGGTGGGAAGACCCCATTGACCTAATTATAAAAATTATAGGACAAAATAGAATAAAATATAATCATCATTATCATTGTTTTTATCATAATTATTATCATTATGTTGTCATTATCATTTACATTATCATTATTGTAATTACTACTATTATCATTATTTTTATCATAGTAGAATCTTGAATATTATTATCACCATCATCATCATTATTACCATTATAAAATTATCTATTATTCAAGTGTTTCCAAGACGAAAATTGGAACCGAAGAGGATTTTACATTTGGATTAATCTGTCCATAAAGAAACAAAAAACACTTTACTAAATGAGAGAATATTTTATTGTATATCTGTGAAACAAATGTTTCCCTTCGATGCTCGTTATGAAATGGGCGTCACTGATATTCGGGGGGAAGGGGCAAAACAACATAGTAGAGTTGTGTTGAAAGAGATTCTGCTAAACACCGTAGCGACCTAGCGACAAATACCAATATTTTGATATTATATATTAATAAATTACAGAGCTTATAGAAAAATGATTCCCCTTAACTAATCTACCTATATTTTTATCATTTCTCATAGGGTCGAAGGGACAACAAGAAATCATGAGGTAACATGCCTCAACCCCACCCCCTCCCTGCTCTTAAGCGGGACTGCACGACTTGTATCTACTTACGCCCTCTATAAAGTCAACAATCATCATAAGCGGTATCCGTTGATCCCCCATGGTCACCCTTTTCTTATGTTAATGAGAGCTAGTTTGATGAGATAACCACCTGCCAGTGACCACGCAGGGAGGTCTAATCCCCCTGGCCAAACTAGTGCAGATAATGCTTTTAAAGGCTAGCTCGATTGTTTATTCCAGTGATCGCACGTACCCGGATAAGGAAATCTGAACCACGATGCATCTTGGATAACCGAAGCTCGGATGTCGGTCCTGGCCAGGTATCCGTAAACACTCGGACTGTCCGGAAACACGTCAAACCTCGTGAGGAGGTAGGCGAAGAGCCAGGATAACAGTATCGCCAAAATCACCTTAACAGAAAAAAAAAGACGCAATAACAATTTATTTGAATCATTTTAAACGTTGTTTTAAATGTTTGTTGCACAATTACATATGCGAAATCGAAATACCCATTTTAGACCATGATTGTTGCTTTAAAGGGATAGTTGAGTTCTGTTTTCAGACCGCAAATGCCTTCAAAGTGCATGGTTATTGCTTTTATTCTTATCTATGACATTTATAGTGCCCTTTAGAACCTAAAATTGTTATGAAGGTAATTTTATACCCCAAAATGTGTGAAATTTAACCAATACGATCATACCAATTCAGCTCCACTTAAAAAAAAACACGGTGACCGTTAATTAATTAGTTAATTTAAAAATAACAATACATGGGCCGGCTAACTGTGGGTTATATAAGCAACACGAAAATGCCAACAAAAAAGCCAACATCGGCATTGGCTGAAATACGACGTACAAGGCGTTATTTCGTTTTTTTTTTCTTCAAATTTTTCAAAATATCTAATATTTGTGGTGGTACACAAGTATTAGAAATCGTCATATTTCAGCCGTCTCTGAACCGATTTTGATTAAACAAAGATGATTTTGTAATTTAACTATTATGTTCTTTCAAATTCGACACTCAGTTTTTGTGTATAAAGCGCCCTCTGCAACAGAACTCAACTATCCCTTTAAGATCACTAATATATGCCTCTCCTTCTCACGATCTCGACGCAATTTGCTTACATTTTATTTTGCGCGAGCTAACTGAATTTAAACTAATATTTCCGATGGACGATAAGAGTAGAATAAGAATATTTCCAGAATAGAGCAATAATGTTGGTTCTACGAAATTTATGGGAATTGCTCCTTTGAAGAAAAAAACGTAGCCTTGATCAAAAATTGTAACCCTAATGCTAACCCTAAATATTTGACGAAATAAACCCCAGAGCAGGTCTTCGGTATTGTTCGAACCCTTTCATCCCCCCCCTCTCTCTCTCTCTCTCTCTCTCTTACCTCTCTCTCTCTCTCTCTATCTCTCTCTCTCTCTCCCTCTCCCTCCCTCCCCCTCTTTCTCTCTCTCTCGTTTACTGTACTTCTTAGCATTTAAATCGAAACAATAATGCTTGTCTACACTTACAGGAAAGAGTCTGAAGATGTACATCCTAACAAGACGAAGTTTCTTTTGCGATCTTGAGAAAGTGCAGAATGGGATGTATGCCCGAGCTAGATATTGGGAAAATAGGACCATTAATCCGATCGTTCTGGAAAAAAATATAGGAAGAACAAAACAAACAAAAATGAAAATGCCGTATAATTCCTAATGACTTCTAAACTGTTCTTTAACATTTCGTGGCTGTTTGGGAGATGCTTTAAAGCCCCACTGCACTACTTATAGATGCTTGCACCCTCTATAATTATAGCAAGCAATGCCTAATCGGTGCATGTTGGTCCCCCATGATCCCCCTTTTCTTATGTTAATTGAGAGCTGATTCGATGAAATAACCACCTGTCAGCGACCTTGCAGGGAGGTCTAATCCCCCTGGCCAAACTAGTGCAGACGGGCTTTAATATCAATATCTTTACCGAATACAGACATGACAGAAGTAAAACTCACAGAGAGGCGATTCCCCAGTGTGACCCAGCAAAGCTAGCAGCAGCAGGGAAGAGAGAAAGGCCAATGAGTGCGATGGTTGGAGCGATGACCAGGGGTCCAAGAAAACGAAGCAAGAAACCGATTCCTCCTGTGATACCAATGATGACCTAATACAGAGAAAGACATTACGGTCATCCCTATCTTGACTCAAGATAGGATTCTTGAGGAAGGGCGTGCCCCCTCCCTCCAATGAACCTTCAAGCAACAACAACAAACAATCATTAAATAAATAAACAAACAAACAAAACGGTGGACTGACTGTGAAAATTAAAAGCATTTTCCATTTTACCCCCCCCCCCCCCCCCCCCTGTTCTCCGTCTAGCATTGCCCCTGAGTAATGAAGTCAATCAGTGCAACTATGTATCCTTGATGACGCTACAGGAATTTGATAAAGACAATGAGCCAGTTATAAACCTGGATATTTTGACAATGTAAGTAAGGTCATTGTGGTCTTCAAAGGAAAAAGAATGTCCCTCCTTCCCAAAACCGAATAGATTTGTTGCATAGAGGTGTTGTATAAAAAAACATATTTGCAATAAATATATTCAGGGGTGAATGTATGATTGAAAATATTATTAAGGGAAAATATAATTATTTTTAAGTATTTCAGTACAGGGCAAATGGGAAAGGAGCTAGCAAGATACGTCACAGAGTTGCCAACGTGATTGCACCTTTAAACGTACACAACTTTCGTATTTTTTAATCGGTTCTTGCTCAAACCTTAATTAACATGTATCTCTCATTTTCTGCTTCTATTAAAACTAACTGAATATCAGCATGGACCTTCCCTTTAATACTCCCCTTTATTCCCGACACGGCACTAATATCCTTTGGCAAGATATTAACCTACACTTGCTACTCTCCACCCAGGTGTTAAAATGGGTACCCGGTAGGATGCAACCGTCATTTTTGGTCAAACAGTTTTGAGCGCCAAGTGACGCCTGGCTGGAAAGGTCCCTAGGGAGTGGAGATTGTTTGCGGGCAAGCACAGTATCCAATGACTGGGGTGATACTAATAGTATATCTGTAAAGCGCTTAGAGACGTCCGAGATGTATTAAGCGCTATATAAAAGCTGAATATTATCATTATTACCTGAAAGCAGGACGCAACCATGATGTCTCCTTGAAGCTCTCTCATCCTGCCTCTCCAGAACTCTGTTCTGTTTGCCAGCACCTCGGGCGGCACATCGGTGGCATTGTCTGAGAACAGGGTAAAGAATAATCCGTACAGGTCCTAGTACACTCTTTCTATGTCACAGACAATACCCCTTCCGTTGGGATTACCGGTTTTGCAATATACGTACGTACATTCACCTTTTAATGCCCCAAAATATTATATACCCCCCTCACCATTAAAAAGACATACACACAAAAAAAATACAAAATACAGTATGGAATAGGGACAGGACCAATAGAACAGCAACTGCTTGTGAGGAATGGCCCTACACAGAGAGAGAGATAACAGGGACCCCTCTGTAAAACAGCATTGTTATGCTAACAACGCTGAGTAGGGCCATCCCTCCGTCTTCCCTTTTTTTTATAAGTATGTCTTTATGATTGTAAATATATATTTGTTGATGTTTTTGTTTAAATGACGTAAAAGAAACACAATAAAACATATACCAGGTAGCTAAAGAGTCGGTTTATTATTACCTCCCTATATTTGCCCCTGTGGCATAGCCACAAGATTCAGGATTCAAGATTAAATATATTCTTTAAAAAATGACACACTTTAAAGACGAAGCTGAGTGCTGGTCATTGAATGGCATGCTGAAAGACAATGTATGTTGTAAATAGGAATTTCATATATCGTGAACTTTTGGCACCATCGAGATTATTTTGACTCTCTTTTTGATGGATATCGCAAGAAATGAAAGCAAATATTAAAATGGATGCATAGGACTGTAAAACAAAAAGATTATATAAAGATGTGGCAGGTTAATTTGCTGTGAATCATAATGCCATACTTCCTCCCATAATTCATACTTTTAGTTTTTGCTTCTTCACAATAGAATATGAACAATGCGAAAGTTCACATATTATTTTCCACTTTTGAAAAAAATAAATATGATATTTGAAGTAGCTCTCACCTGGTAACGGATCTAAGCACGGTCCCTTCAAAGCCAAAACGGCAAAACTTGGTGCTAAGAGAGAAAAGGTTCCGCCTTGCACGATGGGTAATCTAGAGTAGATGACAAACAGTGGTCGAACGGATATCCGTTAGACCTATAACTCATAGGAAATTATTCAAATACAATGGGCGGTTACCTGAACGGGTCTCTATATGTGATCTATCTCACATAGGAAACGATTCGCATACAGTTAACGGTTAAACCGAAAGTAGTTGAACGGGTATTCCATCCGAACTGTAGTATATAAAAAGCAATTCAAATATTTACAATAAACGGTAATAAAGTGAGCTGGTATGGTAAATTAAAAGTCTATTTCATAGAAGCAAAGAGATAAACATGAAAACGGTGAACGGAAGAGCTTAGTTTCAATGAACTTTAAAACTAGCCGCACATGTACTGATCCGATCTGTAGTAAGTCGGAAACGATCAAATACACTGAACGGTTAGAACTAGCTGTCCGGGTATAAATCTGATTCGATCTACAGTAGATATAAAAATAATAGACATACGATTGAACGGTTAGAATAAGTTGAACGGAAATCACAGTTATTACTTTTTTCATCATCAACATCATTATTATCAACTTCCTGTTCAAGACGGGAAGAAACTTTACACTCTTCCTTTGAAATGTTGCCTTTCCTTATATACGAAACTTCGTTATTTTCAGTTCAGAATTTTACATCGAATACTAGGTGTCAACAAATATCTTCACACTATGGTCATAGCGAATTCTAATTTATGTACATTTTGCTTATGTTCTGTTGAAAGTATTTCACACTTGCCTTGGGAATGCCCTGTTACGCATCAATTCATTCAAGACTTCCAAAGCTCTATTCTAAACAATGAAGTGCTTTTGAATAAAAAATTGCCTTTTGTTTTGTTTCCCAGATGGTACGCATTTTATTTTTGTCATTTTATATGCAAAACACTACATTCTCTGCAAAATACAAAAGGGAACGGCTATATTTTTTTGCAGAAGATGCTTAAACGTTGTTATGAAGTTGAGCGGGTTCTTTCTATCAAACGCAATAAGTTCGTTGTATTACTTGATAAATGGAGACATGTGCAACTGATTGTTTTACCGATATGTCACAACATGTACTTTGTTCAAATGTATTGTTTCGTTCTTGCTCAAGAATGATTGAATACATTTTCTTTGGAAAAAACACCGCAAAGACTCCCTTTTCACTATCAACAGTACAATAATCACCACCACCATCCCTATCATCGATAATGATTATCGCCATCGTCCATCTCTTACCTGTTACCGACGAATGTTTGTAGAAGGGTTGCGACACCGGATACGAAGAACATGGTTGCGATGACCTCGGCCAAAGCGACATTGTTGTCGCTGATACAGAGACTTGGTGCGAGGATAAGAGGGATGGCTATGGTTGAACCAATCATCGTCAGATAATGCTGGAGAGGAGTGGACAGAAAAAAAGTAATAAGATTAATAGCATTGACCATTGTTTGTGACTAGGGGATTAAAAACTTTCAAACTTTTCAGTCGGGCAGGCAAAACGATGATAATATGTCGGCATTTTCTTCCGATTTTTTTTTTTTTAATCATCCCTCTGAAAACTGACAATTTACTACAGTCTGTGTAACTTGTACAAAGTTGGAAGCAAATGAGTAGAGTAAAAGTGCCATAATAATGGGACCCATTTATTACAATTATAAGATGATATACAAGTCAATGGCAGAGCATGGGTCGAGCCTATATGAAGAAATTACTGTTACTGTCCCTGTTGGTACCAGCGGCTGATTGGGGGCGACAGACTTAATACTAAGCGGACAACATGCGAAAGAATGAAGCTAGCGAGTGAGGGGAGCGTGTGGAAAAGTGTCGTACCATATTATTTTCACGTTGCCTTTCTTCATTATTCTTTCATTTTTTAAATTTCTGTATACATATATATTCTTCATCATTCAACTGAAGGGAAACGTGCCCCCATCCACCTAGCTATGACATTAATCGTGTTAATGCAATAATAAATGACATGAGGACATATCACATGTTTCACACAACAACAACAAAATAGAGTGAGGGGGAGGCAGAAAGACAAATAGAAAGATACAGGGAGTGAGAGAGAGAGAGAGAGAGAGAGAGAGAGAGAGAGAGGATAAAATAGAGAGATATATAGAGAGAAGGAAGAGCGAGAAAAATAGAGAGAGAGAGAAAGCGAGAAAGAAAGAGAGAGAGAGAGAAGAGAGAGTGACAAGGAGAACAGACACAGAGAGAGACAGAGACAGAGAGAGACGAACAGACAGACATATAGACATAGAGACAGAGAGACAAAAACAGAGATAGAGACTGAGATGGAGACAGACAGACATACAGGTAATATCTTTTTTACCTGGAATCCGAGTAAATAGAGAGATACATGTATAGAGAGAAGGAAGAGCGAGAAAGAGAGAGAGAGAGAGAAAGAGAGATAGACAAGAAGAGAGAGAGACAGAGAGAGAGAGAGAGAAAGAGGGGAGACAAACAGACAGACAGAAAATGACAGATAGACATAGACATAGAGAGACAAAAACAGAGACAGGGACAGAGACGGAGACAGACATACAGGTATACTTTAATTTTTACCTGGAATCCGAGTAACACGGATATATACCAAGCTGGAGTGTCTTCTATTCCATACGACATGTCCCCCTTGAGCTTGGCCAGGACCGCATCCGCCTGCTTCTGAGCTGCTGCATCATCATCCAACCCAGCGTCCTCTCCGTAACCATTGGAAACCTTTGTTCCATTGGTAGGAGGGGATGAGGAGGAGGACGAGGAGATGGTTGATATTGGTATCGCGTCAGGCGTGGCGTCGACCTCCTTGCCGTTATGCATGGTGTTGGGATTGTCAGGTTGAGCCTGAATGAACAGATAGACGGTAAAAAAGAGATGAAATAAAACAATTTTTTGAAAAGGATTTACTTTAGGTGAAGAGTGTAGTTACCGAAATGCTGACGTTCAAATGACACCTCAATAACTCTCCGCAGGTAATTGCATGTCATCTCGTTTGGGAGCAGATACATTTTGTTTTTAAACGATACATATCAACATCTACCGAATTATAACAATTATAAAAAGGATATCCTGTCTTAAAACACTCCTCAATAAACCTTCACCACCAACTATCACCCGAAACGGGGTGGAGTCCTTTGTCATGAGAGACAAAGAGCTCAGTCAGAACATAGGGAGGCAGATTTTATTTGACATTCCTATTTGACAACTCAGACCACATGATCCTTGACTGCGATGGGGCATGATGTTTCCAGAAGGTCATTCATTTAAACTCTACAGATCAACATCTACCGAATTATAGTAATATATATTGAGGTAATATTCTTGAAGGATATCCGGTCTAAATACACTCCTCAACAATGGACCTATACCTTCACCACCACTGTCACCCGAAACGGGTGGAGTCTTAAGTCATGACAGTCAACGAGCTAAGTCAGAACATTGTATTACGTCTATGGTCAGAACATAGGTAGGCAAATTTCATTTGACATTCCTATATGACAACTGCGACAACATGATCCTTGACTGCGATGGGGCATGTTTCCGGAAGGTCATTCATTTAAACTTTACAGATCAACATCTACCGAATTATAGTAATACATATTCTTGAAGGATATCCGGTCTAAACAATGGACCTAAACACCTTCACCACCACCGTCACCCGAAACGATAGAAGCCTTTAGTCATGACAGACGAAGAGCTCAGTCAGAACATAGGTAGGCAAATTTGAATTGACATTCCTATTTGACAAGTCAGACCACATGACCCTTGTTTGATAAGGGGCAATATGTTTCCGGAAGGTCATTCATTTAAACAATACAGATCATACATATAGAGGTAATAAACCTTCACCCCACTACCAAGGAGCCTTTTAGTCATGACAAAGAGCTCAGTCATAGGGAGGCGAATTTGATTCCTATTTGACATGATCCTTGATTGTGATGGGGCATGATGTTTCCCGGTAATTTATTCATCGTCAGACCTCAAATGTGTGTATTTGATTGTATACATACCTCAGAAGCTTTGGGGGGAATTCAGGACAATAATTGCTTACCGTGAGTACAGTCAATAAGGGAGGGGGAAGGCTATCTGTCTTATTAAATGTGAAAGAAAAATCAGGTATAGAGTGAGAAAACCTGGTGGAGTTCGTCCGATCTTCTTTTACCATCCCCTTCTTCCTTTCCCCTTCCCTCCCCCCCCCCCCCTTCTGTGTTCGCTCTTCAGTTTTCGCTCTTCATTAATTGCATGGCCCCAGTGCCTTTGCCACATGTGCAAATACAGGGAGATAATAATAAACTGTTTTTAGAAGAGGATTTTGGGTATGTTCAGGTGCACAAAAACAAAACATCGACCAAACATTTCATACTTTAGATGATTGGCATGCAATGACATACAGGAAGACATGCTTCAGTTCAAATATTAAAAGCGCTGTTATCTGCTCGTTTTCTTTTTTGGCGCGTCAACATGTTTCCCACTATTTACATTTTTGTCAACATCCCGAACCAGCATGACATTTATTTCAACAGACATCCCAGGATATTTGCTAAGACGGGTCATGCCTTAAACAAAATCATGAACAAAACTTTGAATGACAGTCTCATACCAAGATACAATTCCCATGAAGAAGCTGGGGGAGGGGGGGGGGGGGAAGTACCGATGAAAGAAACCGGAAAAGAAAAAAACGGTTTATCTATTAAAAGGCAATGATTTTATACTTGACGCATGCATTTTAAAGCCCGTCTGGACTACTTTGGTCAGAAGGGATTAGACCACCCTGCTGGTCACTGACAGGTGGTTTTCTCATCAACTCAGCTCTCAATTAACATAAGAAAAAGAGGATTATGGGGGACCAACGGGCAGTTGAAGCCACTCCAGATTAAAGTGGAAGCCACTTAAAAGTACGTTTTCGATTATTCCTTTGAGATGGATTCACTATTTCAAACGTGGATTTCCATTCCATATAAAGTGAAACATAATATGACAGGTAAAATACTGAATGACCACTCTTGTACATTTAGAAAGTACATAATTCATTCTGATTCAACAACAAAACAAATCGTTAGACGTCTTAATCGTTATTTTTACTCTTACCCGAGATTCTGGAAGAATGCTGTGTTCTCAGCAGTCGGGCTTCCAGTTAAATCAATGAGTTGCGATTATCAGTGAATGAGATTTTCAACTACTTTGTTTTGTTTTGTTGATGTTACTGGTTAAAAACTTACCGTAAAATAAACAATGAAGAATTAAATAAAAAAATTCCCTCGGAATGCAAAGTATTGTTACGCACCCCTCAAACAAAGGTTGTAAACTCAAGTTGGATCGATTATAACTCTCTTATCGTGTCATAATCATCGCTTTGATTAGTATCATTATAAAGTGTGATTATTCCTCGGTAGGATAATACCACATTTGTTACGATTTTGCAGCCATGGAGTAAACAGTACATCAGAATGAGGGACAGGGTCAAAAGTGAAAAGTTGTAAATGCACACCAGCCACTGACCCAAAGACCTTTACGCATATATTGTTACCAAAATTCATAATGCGAAGAGACGCCAGCGCCCTGTTTCATATCATTTGTTATCTGTAACCAGTGGTGGATCCAGGGGGGGGGGGGGGGGGGGGGGGGGCCCCCCCCCCCCTTGAGAAAAAAATCATGCAAAATCACGCGATTTTTACCTTTTTTGGGGGATGGCAAATTTTTTTCGAGGACCCCCCCCCAAAAAATTGTGCTCATTCCCCCCCCCCCCCCCCCCCTCCCCCACTGAGCGACTTTTCGGCTGGCTGAGGCGTTGCGATTTTTTTTGGGACTCAAAAAAAAAAAAAAAATGCTTACCCCCCCCCCCCCCTCCCCCCCCCTCCCCCCCCCCCCCTCCCCCCCCCCCCCCCCCCCCCCCCCCCCCCCCCCCCCCCCCCCCCCCCCCCCCCCCACTGAGCGACTTTTCGGCCGGCGCGATTTTCAAATTTTCGGGAGCAAAAAAAAAGACGTAAAGGTATAGACCAGTTCTGGTCATGCGATTGTATTGTGAAAAAAACGTTGTAGAATCGATCAGAAAAGGTTGATCATCTAGCATATAAGTATTGGTGTGTACTGCAAGGTTCTGGAATCATCCAAATGATAAGAAATTTGGCCCAGTCTTGGTAAAGTTACATGCACTGTACACAGAAAGATGTATATGGGACTACCCTATATCTATCCAGCCCAGATAGATATAATACATTACCAAATATATCAATTAGTAGGCGTTTCCCGGCAAAATTTGTATCCTATTAGTCAAAACATATTCTTTCACATGATTGGTAATAAGAGCTTCCATTTCATTTGTTGAAATGGAGGCGTTTCCCAAACTAGTCTTTACCTTTAAGCCTCGTTCACTCTGCACTACGAATATGGAAGAAAAAAACCTTCCAGATGCAAATTAGTACAGCCTGTAATGTCCCAATATTGAATCCCGTGAGATAATTGTGCCAAAATTGATTTTTTTGGCTAACTTTGTCAATTTGGGGGTGCTGAATCCAAAAAACTTTGGTACCATTTTTTTCGACCACGTCTTAGGCGGCCATTTTGAATTTCAAAATGGCCACCATAAAAAATGCATTTTTTACCATTATTTCATATTATAGACATTGGAGAAGGTGCAAATGTGGGATAAAATGTATGCTTATGATGTCTGATATATCAATACACATTTTTATAAAATTTTGCTTTATTTCGATTGGCCGCCATCTTGAAATTCAAAATGGCCGCCATTGCTAATCCTATTTTATCTCATGTCTCAAGTTATAAGCACCTGGAAAGGTTTGTACCGTAACAGTATCATAATACTGATGCTGTGTGTGTTTTCAAACAAAACACAAGCTCCCAGTAACTGACCATTCGAATTGGCCACCATTTTGAAATTCAAAATGGCCGCCATGGAATAACATTTGCTATATTAATTCATTTGAAAGTACCTTAGAATCATCCATTTTGAGAGATCATCTGTATTTAAAGCTTGCAGGACCTGGTACTTAGAATACCGGCTGTCATCTTGATCATCGTATATATGCCTAAACGCATCACCCCCCCCCCCCCTTCTTCCACCCGGGGGGGGGGGGCTTAATTATAACATATAACAGTTACTGAATGTGGTGTTAAAGAAAAACTAGAAAAATAAATTCCTTGGACTGGACGTATTAAAACTTCAGTGTGCAAATACAGGCCTGTTATTCCAGAGATAAGACATGATGAGACACGCATCACATCAGAATGCAGTATCACGTGTCTATGCAGATTGCCAGCATACATCTTTGATATGACATGTGCTCCCCATGTGCTCTCACCCACGTGGATGTATGTGTATAGATACACTATGTAAGTCTGTGTCCCATACAGATTACACACAACTGACAGATTGTTTTACTGTCCCACTAAACCTATTTACTTGTGTAAAGACTCAAGACCTCTACAATGTTCTTCTATGCATTCTGATTTTGTCAGAGCAGCTGTCACCATACCACATGATTTGAGAGGTAGGCCTTTTAAACTATTAAATTTGCCTACAATGTACATTTACCTTTGTTGATAAACAGATGTCAGTTGCTGTTATTTTATAAGAATGTTTAAATAGACATTTGAATATGTGTAATGTGAAGTATTCTCTTTGCTCAAAGTCAATGATGTTACCATCTCGCACATACGTACTGTACAGTAGCTATTTGTATCTGTGTTATTTCCTATGAGTGCTGGGTGTTGAACAGTTTATCAAAGTTATTATAATTAACCCAAAATGATCGGAATAGGCTCCAAGGGAAGCAAATTTATCAATGATGTATTTGTGATCCCTACAATAACAGTGTTTATCAATA